TTCTTCATGGACATTCTTGACTTGTTCAGCCATGTTTGAGGCAGATTTGTGTATCCCATCAACCTTCGGTAAGTGAAGAAGGTCTACAGCATGGCGTGGAGTTTTTGTATACACAACAGAGAATGGAGAACGCCCAATGGACATATGAACAAAGCTATTGTATGCAAATTCAGCTTGTGACAAAGCAAAATCCCACTGCTTAACATGCTCCCCACAAATGCACCGGATCAAATTCCCGAGAGTACGATTTGTGACCTCAGTCTGACCATCCGTTTGTGGGTGCGCAGAACTACTGAAATTCAAACTTGCATCAAAGCGCTTCCAAAGAGTCGTCCAAAAATGAGAGAGAAATTTTGAATCTCTGTCAGATGTTATGGATCGAGGGACACCGTGAAGACGAACAATCTCTTGAAAAAATAGTCGGGCCACATGAACAGCATCAGAAGTTTTTTTACAAGGGATGAAATGAGCCATTTTGGAGAACCGATCCACCACCACAAACACCGAATCTACTCCCCTCTGTGTTTTGGGAAGGCCAAGCACGAAGTCCATGGATAAATCTTCCCAAATATTCTCTGGAGTTGGCAAAGGTGTATAAAGACCAGTATTCTGCACATGCCCTTTAGAGGTTTGACAAATAGAGCATCTCTTAACAAAGGTGGCCACATCTCTCTTCAATTGTGGCCAATAATACCTCTCTTCTAGGCTAGCAATCGTTTTATCTCTGCCCATATGCCCTGCTAAACCTCCACCATGCAAGTCCCTAATGAGCTTTTCCCGTAAAGATGTCCTTGGGATGCATAAGCGATTTCCTTTGAACAGATATCCATCTAAAATATGAAAGTCTTGAGTTGAGTTGTGTTGTTGAGCTTTCTTCCATATTTCTTTGAAATCCTCATCAAAATCATAGAGGTCCCTTAGTAGTTCAAACCCAATGAGCTCTCCTTGCAATGTGATCAACAGGCTCCTTCGTCTACTAAGGGCATCAGCCACTTTATTTGATACTCCAGATTTATGCTTAATCACGAAGGAGAATTGCTCAAGGAAAGATGACCACCTTGCATGCATTTTGTTCATGTGTTTCTGATTTTGAAAGTATTTTAAAGCTTCATGGTCTGAGTAAATCACAAAATCACGAGGCATTAAATAATGAGACCAAACCTGCAAAGCTCGTACCAATGCATAGAGTTCCTGTTCATAAGTAGACCATTTTTCACGAGCTGGGCTTAGTTTTTCACTGTAGAATGCCACTGGTTTCTTTTCTTGAGACAACACAGCACCTATTCCCACTCCACTGGCATCACATTCAACTTCGAAAACTTTGTTAAAGTCTGGCAATGCAAGAACAGGGGCAGATGTGATTTTCTCCTTTAGTTCATTGAAGCTAGCATTAGCCACCTCATCCCATTTGAAATTTCCTTTACGCAAACAATTAGTGATGGGAGCTGCAATGCTACTAAAATCTTTAATAAACCTTCTGTAAAAGGTGGCTAAACCGTGAAAGCTTCGAACTTCCCCCACGGTCGTTGGAGTCGGCCATTCTCGTATTGCCCTCACCTTTTCTTCATCAACTCGTATTCCATCTGCACTAATCACAAAGCCAAGAAAGACAAGTTTTTCAACCATAAAAGAGCATTTTTTTAAGTTGATGTACAACTTGTGTTTCTGAAGAGTCTGCAATATCAACTTTAGATGCCTTAGGTGTTCTTCCTGGTTCTGACTATATATCAGAATGTCGTCAAAATATACAATAATGAACTTGCCATTGAAAGGCCTTAAGACTTCATTCATGAGCCGCATGAAAGTACTAGGAGCATTGGACAACCCGAACGACATTACCAACCATTCATAAAGACCATCTCGGGTTTTGAAAGCGGTTTTCCATTCGTCTCCAGGTTTAATACGCACCTGGTGATATCCACTTCTAAGGTCAATTTTTGAGAAAACAGTAGCACCATGGAGTTGGTCTAGCATGTCATCCAATCGCGGAATTGGGAAACGATACCTGACGGTGATCTTGTTAATAGCCCGGCTATCAACGCACATTCTAAAACTGCCATCCTTTTTTGGAGCGAGTAATGCCGGCACAGCACATGGACTCTTACTTTCTTGAATAAATCCCTTCCGTAAGAGTTCAACAACTATATTATTTACAGCCTCATTCTCCACGGGATTCATGCGGTAATGTGGGAGATTAGGTAGACTTGCTCCGGGTATCAAATCTATTTGGTGTTGAATGTTCCTTAAAGGTGGCAATCCATCAGGAAGTTCTTCTGGTGCAACATCTGAAAATTCCTTTAGCAAAGATCTCAGCTCATCAGGAACAAAATATTGAGAGTCTATTTCCTTACCCACCACTAGCAGGATAGTTTTGAAGTCTTTAGCTTCTGCAATAAATTCCTTCCAATTTGCAGTGACAGCACATGTTTTTCTTTGGTCTGCAACATTCCAAGAAATAGGAGGGATTAATATCTTTTTACTTTTCCACAAAAATTCATAAGTGTTCTGCCGCCCATGGTAAATAGCATCTACGTCAAACTGCCATGGTCTTCCTAAAAGAATATGACATGCATCCATGTCAATGACTTCGCAAGTCACAGTGTCTTGGTAGCTCTTCCCAATAGAAACCGGCACACGGCAAACCTCCATCACCATAACAGATGGCCCTTCTTTTATCCAACCCAATTTGTAAGGCTTCGGGTGAGGCTTAGTTGGCAGTCCTAAACGTTGCACAAGTGCCTTGGATACAATGTTGTCACAACTGCCATTGTCAATAATAAGTTTACAAACTTTTCCCAGTACACTGCAATGAGCTCGAAAGATGTTGTTTCTTTGGGCAGGATTATTTCTTTCAGTAGTGCACAGAAGCCTCTGTACAACACAATTTAAGTGTTCTCCGACTTCTTCGGCAACCTCTACTTCATCTTCATTAGTGACTCCCTCTTCGTCAAACTCATCTTGTTCCTCCACAAGGTTGACAGATTTTCTAGCTCGACATTCATTTGAGCGGTGTCCTGGTTCACCACATTTGAAGCACTTGCCCGTCATTGGTCTTGCATAAGGATTTGGTGCAATACTTTTAGAAGATATTTCACCACCTTTTTGTCGCTGGAATTTAGAATTATTGCCTACTGCCTCCTGCAAATTATGAGATAGTGAAGGAACAAAATTTTGGTTTGGAGTAGTTCTCTGGGAATTGGTCTCTGTAGTATTTCTAGACGGTGCTGCCATGGACTGTTTACGAGAAGTAGCTTGAGACAACAATTCCTCAGCCCGCAAAGCCATATTATAGGCTTCATCAACCGTCCAAATTGGAGCCAAAGCCATTCGTTCTCGGATATTAAATCTCAACCCATTTATGTAGCGTGCAGTTTGTTGTTCAGGAGTCTCAGACAGATTACAACGCGCTCCAAGCCGATAGAATTCTTCTGTGTATTCATTCACGCTCCGACCTCCCTGAGAGCAACGTTGATATTTTTGAAATAGCTGTTGCTGATAGTCAGGGGGCAAAAATCTCCCCATCATGAGCTTCTTCATTTTTCTCCATGAGGTCACAGGCATTTTTCCTTGCCTCCTCCTATTATTCTGAGTCATATCCCACCAAGCGGATGCCCCACCGCGTAACTTGTTTGCAACATACTTAACCTGCTTGTTTTCAGGGACATCTAGCATCTCAAAACTGCTTTCAACTTCATAGCACCAGTCTAAGAAAGATTCAATGTCTAAGTTGCCATTGAAGCAATGAAGGTCAATCTTGGGTCTGTAGTACTCTCGTCGTTGTGCAGGATAATTGTGGCTTGTAGTATCTTCGTCATCACTGTCATCCATTTGCTCCTGAAAGTTATAGCGCCGGGGTGGGTGTTGTGCTTGCCTCGGAATAGCTCCTTCCACAGGTTGGTTTTGTCTGGGATTGGCAGCCGGATTTATCCCACCACCATTCATTCCCAAACGTATAGCTTCAAGAATACCACGAAGTTCTTGGAACTCGCGGTTAGAGTTATCCTCGTGTGCTCGAAATGCTGCCCAAAGGGCTTCTACCCCACGGTCATCGCCAATGGGTTGATTGCTACCACCGCCGGTATTGCCATCTCGAACCATTTTGGGTCGTAACAATTTGAGAGGGATGTACCGCTATCTCGTTTGTTGCCTAAGAACTTAATGGCTCTGAATACCAACTGATGCAGAACGCAGTAGCTGAACAAAGAATTCTAATGATTCATTAGAACAAAACAGGAAGTACATTCATAATAATTTTCAAGTCCCCCTTCTGGTTACAAAATGGCCTAATATATAGGCATAAAACAAAGCAACGTAACATTCAAATTCTAGGAATTGTAAAAGACACATGGAAAATGAAAATGCATTTAATATAATCTAGGGAAAAGATTCTTGAGCCTCCAAACAGATATTACTCAGGTTCCTTGTGTTGTGTTGCTGGTGTGAACGCCATCACTGTTGTCCCAAATCGTTGATTTACCAAACAACTATTTTGACGTTTAACCATGATCAAAACATCAAAATCAATGTATCCGTCAAACTTTTAACAGATTCACCAACAACCAAACATGCCGAAAATTACAAATTTTTCCCCATAATTTCATTTTTCCAACCAAATGTCCCCTAAAGTCATTTAAGTGAGCTTTGTGGCTGGAACACAGATGGCTCTCGGAAAGCAATTGCAATATTTAAAATGTCTTTTTTTTTTTTTTCTAAAGAATAAAGCAACAATACGAGCTTTGTGAAAGATGGTGCCCCAAGTGAACCGGAACAGAGATTGCTTTCTAGAATTCTACGTCAGAGCTCGTTTCTTCATGTGACAGCCTTGTACACTTCGAAAAGGCTGTTCTACTAATCATTGCTATTTCCGACAAGGTCCGCCGGTCCGGGACGGATCGAGATCTGTTATCCGCCACCTACCCCGTCCGGATCAATTCGGCTTACGTCTACGGGAAGTGTCAGTGCAGTTTTAGTCAACAATGATGATGCAGTGCCCCAAAAACTCGCTAGAATTGGATTTTATAATTCGGTTCAAGTTCAATAATGGCGGGCACGAAACCCAATCTTTCCTCGTCCACGTGACGGAAACGATTCAAACGAGGTTGAATCTGGGGTCCACATCCGTTATATATATATATAAATTTACCTTAAAAAAGAATCGTTGTCTTGTACGGAATACTTATCAAACCCGCTGTCTGAGGTGCCGGAATAGCCAAATCCAAGTGCTCGTCTATCCCGGTTCGGTTTAATTCCGGATCAAATGGACCCCGGGGAGACAGTTCTCTCGGACCGGGTAAGAATCAATGGCATCGAAACTCCAGTGACGCTCACAGCCGGCGGACAGCTCCGGTGGCCGGCCCGGTGCCTGTGGATAGAGAAGCAGGTCCTCGGATTCTCAGTCGAAGGTTCACTGATCAAAATCAGGGCTGTTGTGGAAAGCGAAGCTGGAATCTGCTGTTGCGAGAACAAAACAGCTCTCCTCAGAAAAACCTTCACCTTGGAGCCGTTTTCTGAGGAATCTTTCCGGCTCTGGACTCAAAAGCTCCAAGAATTCATCGATTCTCTGGGTAAAAACCACCTGAATTATTTGTTTATTGCTATTCTTTCCAGCAATTTTGGTGGCCAGTGCAAAAAGAACTTGATTTATTAGAGAGAGATAGTGAATATATGTGCTTTACTTAAATATTTGTGGAAACTAGTTTATTCATGTTTATTAGATCCATTGTCTCTTTACATGCAAATACAAATTGCTTACTTTGTTTAAATATTTTGTTGTTCCTATTAGTTATTGTAGCATGAACATGTACACATTCAAATACAATTTGATTTGTTGCCATTGTTATTCTGCTCATCTTAATGTGTTTGCTTTTTTGCCATAATTGAATTTGGGGGATAATCAGGTCGACCGAAGAGACTCTTTATATTTCTGAATCCATATGGAGGAAAGAAATCTGCCTCCAAGATTTTTCTTGACGACGTAAAACCACTGCTTGAGGATGCAAATGTTGAATATGCATTGCAAGGTTTGCCGCACTGGACTTTCTTAGTATGTCTCCAAAATTTTCATGTTCCCCTGGGGTATCTTAGAATTTTTATTCATGCCTTTTTTATTTTAATCTTTCAAATTCAGAAACCAAATATCAGCTTCATGCCAAGGAAATTATTCGTAACTTGGATCTTTCAAAGTACGATGGAGTTGTTTGCGTTAGTGGAGATGGGATTTTGGTTGAGGTTGGTTAGTCATTCCAGTATTATATCATATGAGAAATGTACCGGTGATCTTCATGTTCATTCATGCTTGTGTTGCAATTTTAGTAGGTAGTTAATGGGCTGCTCGAAAGGGAGGATTGGAAGACTGCAATAAAGATATCGCTTGGAGTAATACCTGCAGGTTTTTGCTTCTTTTCATTAGTTCCATCTTCTTCTTTATGCTAAATCCTTTCGAAGAACTAGTTTGGAAGAAGAAATAGTTCGTTGACAATTACTTCATACTCAAATTGTCTACCAACTAATAAACTGTTAATATTGATCTAGTGATCTTCTTGCATAAATTCCGCTAGGAGCTTTGAAGCACTAACTTCTTAAACTCATTACTGAGTTTCTTAAGTAATTTCTTTAGTTGTATAGATTTTGATTTGGCCTGCTTATTGGTGAATGATTGGAAATTCAATTTTTGGAATTCTGGCCTCGGTTGTTGAGAAAAAGTGTGTTGTTTGATAGTGACATTAGAGTTCTCTGGTTATATCTTTAGGAGAACTGTTATTACGAGCTATAACAGAAGAAATGATCCTTCCACACAGGCACCGGAAATGGCATGGTGAAATCTCTTCTAGATTCAGTTGGAGAGCCTTGTTCCGCTTCTAATGCAACTCTTGCTATTATTCGAGGTAGAATGTTGCCCGGTCTTTCTCATACAAATTTGCTCTCTTTGGTGACTTTTTATTTATTTTGTGGTCTCCTGTCGTATTCTTGATTACCGCAGGGCACAAGCGAGCACTAGATGTAGCTACCATTTCACAGGGGCAAACCAAGTTTTTCAGTGTATTGATGCTTGCTTGGGGTATCTATTCTTGTCATTTATCTACTTGGTTCTGTCCCCGAGCTGTTAATATTGTGAACTACAAAAATATACAAAATTAAAAACTCGGAGTAATTCATGTCTAATGAAAAGTTGAAAACTTGATTACTTTCCAGGACTTATAGCTGACATTGACATCGAGTCTGAGAAGTACAGGTGGATGGGGAGTGCACGAATAGATTTTTATGTATGTACTTCATCTTTATTATGTCTCTCCGTGTTTAATGTTAAAAGCAATGAATAAGTTTTACCATGTTCGTTTGGTCCAGGCTCTTCAACGGATGTTCTGTCTTAGAAGGTATAATGGGTGTATAAGGTTTGTGCCTGCACCTGGTGATGAAGTTCATGGAGAGCCCACTGAACCTATGGAAGTTTATTCAAATGGCGGCCCGGAAAGCGGCTATTCTGGTCCTTCGGATGTTGATGTACAGAAATCAAACTGGCGGAAAATTGATGGTCCTTTTGTTTCAGTCTGGCTCCATAATGTACCCTGGGGTAGTGAAGATACTATGGCTGCACCTGATGCCAAGGTAATTTGTTTTCGTCTTATTTCCTTGAAAACGCAACGGTTTCTGGTAAATTCTTTATTGTCACAACCATAGTGTCCAATTTGTGTGTCTTTTCAACTTCTACGCAGTTTTCAGATGGCTATCTGGACTTGATCGTGGTAAAGGATTGCCCGAAGTTGGCCTTGCTATCGTTGATGACTGGATTAAACAATGGCGGCCATGTCAAGTCCCCATATGTCTTTTACTTCAAGGTATAAATATTTGCTTATGCCCTCCATATACATGGAGTAGTTATTTTATTTCTGGTATTATTCGCCCTTTTCTCTGCCCCGTCTCCCGGCTTCTGAGCACGAACCTACACATTCTATGAAAACGTAGGTTAAGGAATTTGTTGTGGAACATGTTTGAAAACGTAACATAAACCATTTCGGGCTGCAACAGGTTAAGGAATTTGTTCTGGAGCCAGGTGCAAGAGCCGAGGATCCATCTAAGGATGGGATCATCGACGTGGATGGCGAGGTTGTTGCCCGAGGTCGAGGAACATACAAGTGTGAAGAGAGAACCTTAATGGCTTATGATAAGCTTCATATTAAAATGGATCAGGGGTTGGCTACTATCTTTTCCCCCATTTAGAATCTGCTATTATTGTGTTTAGTGGGTTCTGTTTGGTTTCAGGATTAGCTTATTTGCAGAATTGTGAAAACCCTCTTTCATAAATATAAGGAAATGCAATATACAGTTAAGATTCAATTCATCACTGCGATTTCTCCTCCTTCAACTCGACATGGCAAGTACATGTCTTCTTCATTTTAATTTTTTTTTTCTCAAACAAAAATTGAAAGAATTGCAATAATTGCAATTCTTTCAAGGACTATTCTTGTAAGCTTTTGTTGACAAATTGGTCACTTTTGTACTTCTTTTCCTTTGATCACTTGACAAATTACTGTTGTCGATTTTTCTTTTTTAATATTATGCATATAATATATAAATTATATTGTGAATCATGAATAAACGTTAATTTTTAATAGACTAAGGGATCGTTTGGTTCACGGAATGTCAGATTACCTTAAGGAATGTTAGATTGCTGGGAATGTTAGATTCTTGTGTTTGGTTAAAATTGGGGTATGTAATATACTCATGTTTGGTTTAGGGTTATCTTTTATTCACACACTATAATATCATTAACGAGTAAATACCGGCGGAGGTCCTCCGACTTTGGTGGCATTGCCACTTTTAGTCCTCAACTTTTAAATCAACCACTTCTAGTCCTCTTACTTTTTGTTTCTAGCCATCTATGGTCCTTTCGTTAAACTTGATCATCTAATGCCATTTTCTAAAAGATAATTCAGTTCTTTCATAATTAACTTATTAATTATTATGTTTAATTTCCTAGCAGAATAGTCAAACAATGGTTTCCCAGCTATGAACGTGTACAAAACCAGCTCGTGAACCAAAATGGCGTACACAAGCTGGTACGAAAGTTGTGCCAAAACAACGTCGGGATATCTCAGTATGACTCGACCAACATAATAATTAATAAATTAATTATGAAATGATTGAATTATCCTTGAGAAACGACATTAGATGGTCAAGTTTAACGGAAGGACCATAGATGGCTAGAAATAAAAAGTAAGAGGACTAAGAGCGGTTGATTTAAAAGTTGAGGACTAAAAGTGGCAGTGCCACCAAAGTCAGAGGACCTCTACTGGTATTTACTCTATCATTAACATATTTTCATATATTTTAATAAATTTTAAAATTAAAATAAATAAATAAGATAACGGTATCATATATAATTACATGATTTTAAAATATTAACTAAAATATTGAACTTGAGAAACAAAATTATTTTATATGCTAACCTAGCATAATAAAAATAAAAAAATATATAATTACAAAAATAATTATATGTGTGTGTGTGTGAGATAAACTAACATAACCAATGTTATCTTACATAACCTTAGAAATTGAAGGGAATCACATTCCCTTCAAAATCCTATGTGGAGGGAATGTGACATTCCTGGGGAATGTTAGATTCCCTGAGATAATGTGAACCAAACACAGGAATGTGAGCTTTGGAATGTCACATTCCCTTGGTTATGTTATATAACCTGAACCAAACGCCCCTAAATGTGTATTTATTTAGTATATTATTAAATAATGAACTACACAAATAATATACCTTCAAAAAATGAACATTTAGTGTATTAAAACTGTCTTTTTAATATATTAAAAATGTATCTTATGTATAACAAAAGTTGAATTTAAAATAAAAAAAAATAGCCAAGACTATAATTAACGCGCCCAGCTGGCGCGTGCAGCCTGGGCGCAAGGTTGGCCTTCACGCAGCCAGCTGCAACTTTTTATTTCATAAGATGGGCCCCACCAACGGACAAAATCTCCAAAATAACATAAGCAATTCAACCCTTCTCTCACCTATTTCTCTCTCATCAACTATGATACTTTTTTCTCAAATACCGTGAACAATTCTCCTAATGGAGTTACTCTTACGGTATCCTTGTGAGCATATAGCCATTAACGTGCAATCCAACTATCAACTTAAGCTTTTAGTTGATATTGAGCACATGTTTCAATTTGGTATCAGAGTCAGACCAAAGGTCATGAAAACTTAAGCTTTACCCACCCACCGCAAAATCTTCATTTTTGCAGAACAATTTAACTCTCTCTCTCTCTTCTTTTTACCTCATCCAAATTTTCTTAAAATATGATTCTAAATTTCTTAATGGGGATGCTCTTAATTGTATTAGACACGTAAGATGAGATAAAAGAGAATATTTTAGAGAGAGTATGAAAGTGGAGTAAAAATTTTGGAAAAAACAATCCGGAAAAGCAAAAAGGAGTGAAAATTACGCATTTGAAAAACAAAAAAAAAAAGCCATTCAGATAACGCAGTCAGAAAACGTCCCTCTGAGGCTTTGGCCGCTTTGCATTTTCTCATTCAACATTTCACTCTCAACGACTGTTCTGCAGATATCAACATAGGTATATATACGCACACTGACACACACGCTCCATCTCTCTAATGGCTACATCACTCACTTCGCTTAGGGTTTAGCCTAAGAAGATTTCTGAGTCAACTCGGTTACCTTTATCTTTTTTGCCGTTTTAGAAAGCCAACTGTATTTTTTTTCTTTGTTTGCTTAATCTGTTTAGGGTTGGTGAGTGGAGTGAACTGTGATGTCGTCGTCTTCGACGCAGCCGTCGAACGTTTGCTTTAATTCCAACTGCAAAGAGGTCTCGGAGCTGCCGAGGAAAGGTTGGCGCCGCCGGACCGGCGAGTTCGCAGACCTCTGTGATCGTTGCGCGTAAGCAATTTTGCATCCTTTTGACTCTTTTTTTGACTTGTTGGACATGTTGCTAGTTTGCATTATTTATCTGTAATCTTTATTGATATTTTCCGTGAATGCTGGTGAAGAATTGTTTTGGCGACTGGTTGCTTGTTGAGAGTTTGCAAGAGTGCGTGTGTTGTATTTCCTTTCTAGCTCCTACTATTCTACCAGCTATTGGCACGTGCCCAGCTCTTTTGCCTTGAGGTGCTTAGTCATGTGTAAACTAGGTGGACTCTGATAAATAAAAAAGGTTCAATGAATGTTTGGTTTTATAGGTGATATTTCATTCAATAAGTCATTTATTGAATACTTTTTTCTTATTTGGTTGTATACTTTTGCTGTTTAATGTTTACTTGTACTTTTTTTTCATTGGCAGAGGAATACAAGTGAATAAATTTTAATAAATTGTTATTTCTGTAAAATTTGTAAGCACAAAATAACATAAAGTTGGTCTATGCTGTTTGTAGATGTTAGTAATTTGTCTGTTTGTCTTAACACCAGTGGTTTATATATAAGTAGACTGCAGTGCAACTGGGATCTTAACTTTGGAAGATGGAGTTGCCTGAGAATTTAACAAGAGGATAGATTGTTTCCAATCGGAAAATTTTAAAACCTTTAGTTGTAAAAAAGATGTAGCCTTTGCTTCAATCACTCAGGTCCTCTTAACAGCCATACTCTAGCTAAGGGGATTACTCCCTCTAGTTGAAATCAGGGTGATAAACTAATAATTAGGGTGAAATAACTTTCATAAAGTAGTCATTCTACGCAGGCTGATAAGATGAAGCAGAACTGCTCAACTGCTAGTGAAAGTTTGGAAGGTAGTAAGAGCAGTGTAGCTAACTAGGGAATGTAAAGTGGTAATGGGTTAAATGCAAAGGGAGTGGAAAATATTTAACAGAATATCACTTTGTTTTTGTTTTCGCTTCACGTAATAAAGAAAACAGAAAACAGAAAAAAGAAAAAAGCAGCACCAAAACTTTGCCGAACAGAATTTCGATGCTTGATTCAATTTACCTCCTCATTTTATTCCTAACCGAGACATTGCTAGATGTGTTTCTGAAACTACATTTAGGCAGGGAAACCAGCAATTGAGGTCCCTCAATTATTGGCGATTAGTTGATTTAGTTCCTCGCTATACTGTGGAGTGTGGATGCAAATATCATCCATAGTTGTTCCATAGTATTGCCAAATTGGTCCTTTGACATTCAGACCTACTAACATGAAACTCTATGAGGGATCAATACGGCAACACTTGAGGGACCAATTTGGCAATGATTTGGAACAACTAGGGATGATATTTATGGCCACATGATAGCAAGGGACCAAAACTGGTCACCAATAATCTTGAGGGGCCAAAAATGATTTTTACCCTTCAAGCATTTACGAAACATTTAGGGTTCCAAAATCTTACTGAATTATGCCTAGTTGTGCATTGTAGTTAATATTTTTTCTATTTTTACATCAGATTGCCTCGAAAGAGATGTCTCTGATGAAATTTCCACATATATCATATTAAATTTTGAGATTTTGTGAATTAATAATTTTTATGTGAACTAGCTCTGCTTATGAGGAGGGCAAGTTCTGCGAAACATTTCACTTAAATGCTTCTGGTTGGAGGTCGTGTGAATCTTGTGGGAAGGTGAGCTCAAATTTTATTTTTCTCTGGCTCATCAATCGATAAAATGAAAAAAATGAAAAAGACTCTTGAATATTCTAAAATTCATTTTCTTTACATTGGACATGAAGTTACACTTTGGTGGTGCACACCCTCTCTCCTGAAACATTGGGAGTTTTATCAAGTTCTAAAGGATGAAATTCCTTGTGCAGCAAATACATTGTGGATGCATAGTATCCTTCCATACATTTGTACTTTTGGATGCAGGAGGAATTGAATGTATAACATGTGCAAGGAAGAGTTTTATTTTGGTAAGGTCCTGTCATCTGTTTATTATTATTGTTGTTGTTGTTGTTGATACTTTATAGAACAGGCTGTTTGATGATTATTTGCTTAATATTTTCGTATTTCAGACGCCAAATCCTGCATGGCCACCTCCTTCTGATTTTCTTCCTCTGCAACCTGAAGGAATTAAAGATTCCAGAAGTTGGACTCCAATAGCTGGTTCTGGTCCAGTGCCATGGCGTCAAGCTCCAAGTTTGTTCAATGGCTCTGTCATTCAAACTAAGTTGCAGCCAAAAACACCTTATGGTGATATCACGGGTAGCATTGATAGACTTCACCTGAATGAAAGACCTCCTGTGTCTTCTCTTGTAAACAAGAGAAAAGAGGAAAACTTTGGAAGCTTACTAAACAGAACCCTTAAGAGTTGTGTATCAGGAAGACTTGAAAATGAGCATACTGGTATTTGTCTTCACTATATGCAAAGTTGATTCCATTCAATAATACGAACAAGTTTTGATTCAAGGCTGAATGAATGAAATAATGATTGTCTCACAGGATTTAGTTGCTCTGAACAGTCCAACTCTTTTTTAAGTGGTACTCAGCAAACAAGCTTATCAAAGATTGATTTTTCTGCTCCAAACTTTCGTTTGACAGTAAGTTCGACGCCCAAAAAAGAAGCAAGTGATCGTAGCAAGGTCTTTGCAACACATATACAACCAACTACACTTTCACCTTCTGTGGGGAAGCAGTCTTGCAGTCAAAATGGCACGGATTCTTCTGGAGAGGCTCAAATGCGCAATGTGAGGTCTCGAGGAGATGGGGGCGGGAAGCACCAGTTACTTCCTCGATATTGGCCCCGGATTACTGATCAAGAACTGCAACAAATTTCTGGAGAGTATCCTATAAGGAGAGCTGGGTTTCCTTTTTAAAATTTTAAGATGCCCTTATTGAAATATTATAGTTCTTCGACTATTTTCTTGGCATTGCCATGAGTTGCTAGAATGCAAGTCAGCTTTGTTACCATGACCTTAACTTTGTGATAGCACAAACTCTGTGATTACTCCTCTTTTTGAAAAGATGCTAAGTGCTAGTGATGCTGGTAAAATAGGCCGTTTGGTACTGCCTAAGAAATGTGCTGAGGTGACTTCCTATGCTAAGCTATACCTTATTCTTTAGTCAATGCTTTAATCCTATGTATTACTACAGATATTATTCAAAACATTGTTTCATTTTATGATTTCTATTCTCTGATTTAGTGATTTGTTACTAGACATAAAATAAATTCTATCGCATGCAAAAAGAAAATCCTATCACAAGATATACTGCAATGTGATTCTGATGAAGTTTTATTATGGCACAGGCTTATTTTCCACCAATATCCCATCCAGAAGGGTTGCCTCTCAAAGTGCAAGACCTAAAAGGGCAAGAATGGCTATTTCAGTTTCGTTTTTGGCCCAATAATAACAGCAGAATGTATGTTTTGGAAGGGGTCACTCCTTGCATGCAATCAATGCAGTTGCAAGCTGGTGATATAGGTAATTAATTGGTTGACCAATGATTTCTTAATGTCTTTGTGTGATGTTTGGGAAGCATATAAATGTATGATTTTTGGAATTTAAAAGATCCAAGACCTGACGGGTGGAGAATAATAACCACCCGCCAGTTAGGCGGAACTGCGGAAGTAGAGATGAAGAATCAAGGAATGAGAAAATGTATATAATACTGAAAGATTACAATATATTACTATAATTCTATGTTTCTAATGAAGAAACATAGTAAACACACACACACACACACACACATATATACATACATACATACATACATACATAAAGACACATAACTGTTAATTTAAACACCTATTCATAAACAGACACAACCCTATAGACAGACATAACCCTTTGTTTTTTAACACTCCCCTCAACTTGGAACATCTCGAAGTTTCAAGCTTGGATTAAAACATACACTCCACCTTACTCTAAATTACAAATGAAGATTAAATGCAACTAGAGGATAACAGTGTTGAATGGCTTCAGAGAGGCGACACTATGCACAACCCCTGGGAATGAAGATCAATGCACCAAGGCGAAGCTTAACATGAACAACCTCACAACAACATAAGCACTCTAGGACTTGCCAACAACAATCTTCATCAAGAGCAGCCCTCGGGAATAAATATGGTATAGCGAAAATAAAGAGACAAATACGGTTATACCAAAATACCCTAGAAAGAAGTTTGGCAACAAATCCATAAAGCCTTCAAACTTCACCAAAAGGTCCAAAGAATGGCAAAATAACAATTTGGAAATTAGGAAAGCTCGTTGGCCCGTGATGCCGGCGACGGTGTAGGATAACGAGGAAATTTTCTAAATAAGGTCACAAAAAGGAGAGGAATCCAATGGTGTAGGAGGTGAGATCACAAAATCACCGGAGAATAAGAGATCTGAAAAAAGCCAAACGGAGTTCTGACAATTTGTGATGGCGCGTGCAGCGGCGGATGACATTGGCGTTTCTTGGGCAAGGTCATGGTGTGATTTTGAGTGTGATTGTGGTGGTAGATTTTGAAGTAAACCACCCTAGACACGTTGGAATCCAAGAGATAGTCGCGATCTTCTGTTTACGCTAGAAAATTGGAAGGAAAATAGCCTAGGGAAGTAGGCTCTAATATCATGGTGAATTTGAAATATCCAAAAGCCCGGCGGGTGGAGAATAACAACCACCCGTTAGTTAGGCGGAAGAAGAGATGAAGAATCGAGGAATGAGAAAATGTATATAATATTGAAAGATTACAATATATTACTATAATTCTATGTTTCTAATGAAGAAACATAGTACATATATATATAGACACATAACTGTTAATTTAAACACCTATTCATAAACAGACACAACCCTATAGACAGACATATTCATTTGTTTTTTAACATGATTGACGACAAAATTGATATCTTGATAGAAACTAAATTACCAGAGAGGGACTGTGGAGTGGTCCTTAGATCAAAATCATATATGGCTTTGATGTTGTTTGATTATTGAGTATTTCTACAGTTGCCATTGTGGGCAGTTCAATGAGGTTATTTGGCTTTGCTTTAGGGTGTATAAATTGATTTTTGGTTGATATTGCACTTCTGCTGCTGTTGATTTTATTATTGTGATGTCAATTTCTTTTTCAGTAACATTCAGTAGGATAGAACCAGAAGGAAAGTTGGTTATGGGATGCCGAAAGTCTTCATCTACACCTTCAGCACATCAGGTATGTTCACTATTATATATATAAACTTTATGATATATATAGGTTAATTTACGACAATACTGCATCTTCATAATTGGAATTAAGGATAGATGAAAAATAATACGGAGTATCATGTTTATGAAGGGCAAAGTGGGAACTCTTCCATTAAAATTAATCCCAGGTCTATTAAATAAGTCTTTTGTCATGTGATAGTTTTTATATAATAAATAAAAATAGAAACATTGAAAATAAGAAAGGTGAACTGTTCATTTTGCATTACAATTTAAATTCAAGCGAAGGAGATCTATGAAACCCTTCTACTAATCCTCTCTTTTTTGGATATTTTCTTCTTTTAAAGGGATATGGAACTTCTAATAGTCCAATCGGAGTTCCTACAAATGGTAATGCTAGTACTAAAAACATAAAACCTGGAGAAATCGTGACAAAGTGCTCTATTAAAGGTAATTTAGCATCACCTGGTGTTCTGATAAACAATCAATTTCCTATTTTGGATTCAAGAAATATCTTGTCTGATCTTAATATTAAGTCAAATTACATAGCTAAAGAGGTGGTAGAAACTAAGCCCCCTGTTCGTAGTAAGAGAAAGAATAGCACCTCAAATTCAAAAAGTAAACGACTGAAAGTTGACTGTGAGGAGTTGATAGAACTAAAGCTCACAGTGGTGCAAGCTCAACAACTGATGCGCCCATCCCCAAATGATACTCCAACTGTCATTGTAATTGAAGGCTGTGACTTTGAAGAATACGAGGTACCAGGTTTTTCTGTAGTTTATAACTATTTGAATAGGTGCATTAACTATTGTTGTATCTGGCCTTTGGTGGCTATTCTTATGTTACTGTATCAGAACTTTCCAAAATTGAAAATATTCATAAATTTCAAAACAAATTTGAAATTTTCATACCTCAGTGCTTTCTATATATAGAATGTTCTCTCATGAGCATGGTTCTTCTGAAATACTGGAATGTTGCAGCTATTTTACGAGGGTGTCAAAATGGGGGAAGAAAGAAAAGCTAAGACTTCAACTGAATGTGACCTTGACCTTGTTTTCTTACATTTCTTGCACATCCTTCTTTAACGAGAATATTGCTTTTTGATTCAATTGTTAGTTTACATGTATGATGGTATCTTGGCATAGTTGCCAACACAGTGCATATTCAAGTTTTCATTTTGGTGAAAAGGAGCAAAGATGACCAATTTAAATTTTGGTCGCTGCAAGTGTCACTTTCTCATTTCTGATGTCACGACATGACTAGATTCTAAAGAAAAATAATCTCTTCCCCAATTGAACATTTTATTGTCAGCAAAAGCTTTAGCATTTTGTTTTTTATGTTAATTTCTGTGAGTTTTACTTTTCAGTAGAATGTGCTCAATAGATTATTTTTCTCGAGTATTCTGAGATGTATTGGATTTTCCTTTTGGTCTCATTTATTTATTTATATCAATAATCATAACAAATCTTGATATTTTCTATCAGTCCATCAGAGAAACTGACATTTAAAATTCTTGTTCCTTCCTTGATCTCTTTAGCAGGATGCACCGATTATTGGGAGGCCTACTATTCCCTCCACGGGCAGTTTGGGGTAAGCGCTTATGCATGTTGACTGGCTTTTAACAATTTTACAATGCACCAATTGACTTTTGATTCTTTATTATTCTGTTTCAGTGAGAAAATCCAGTGGGTTCAATGTGAAGATTGCTTTAAATGGCGCAAGATCCCTGATGATGCTCTTCTTCCAGGCAGATGGACCTGTTCTGAGAACTTATGGGACCCAGACAGGTATCTCAAAGATTAATGATATCCTTAAATCTGAATTCTTTTTGCCTCCTTGGGATTTTCCCGTAATCCTTAGTGTCTATAAACCTAATCACTGCAACATTCTTCAACTGATAGTGTTTCTTTCTTTTATTAGATCTGTGTGCTCAGCAGTGGAGGAGTTAACTGTAGAATGCCTTGCAGACTTAGTACCAACCATTGGTAAAGGTACAAATATTTTCCCATCTCCTTCCCCTTCCATTGCAGTTCTTGAATTATTTGACCCCAAGGAATTCGGAAAGCTTTCTAGCTACTTTTGTTGGTCACTTATACCTGCACTCCTGTTGAACAATTATCCAGGTGTTCCCCGGTTGTTATATCATAGTTGTAAATAAATTATATGATTTTTGTGCAGCTCCTAAGAAAATGAAGGCTTCTAAACAGGATATGAACTCACCCGATACCATCGAAGGGCTTGATGCCCTTGCTAACCTTGCGATCCAAGAAGAGGGAGAGGGTGTTTTGGCATCGTCATCTCAGGCCACTACAAAACACCCCCGACATAGACCTGGCTGTACTTGCATCGTCTGCATTCAGCCCCCGAGTGGAAAAGGTCCCAAACACAAGCAGCAGTGCGATTGTAACGTCTGCAAATCAGTGAAGCGCCGTTTCAAAACCCTGATGATGAAAAAGGGTAAAAAGCTGTCAGAAAAAGAAGCAGAAGCTGCAGCTAACGTGAACTCACCATGTAGCGATGCGGGAGCATTTAGTCCAACGCATGAAGAGCCCAATAGCGAGAGTTGTCTCGATGACACCAACGACATCATTGAGAAGAAATCTTCCCCTTCGCCAATCAAAGGCGAAATAGACCTGAATATCAAGCCCGAGCGAGAGGACTTATCACCCAGGTGCGACTCTGGCGGCGTGATGCGTTTCCTCCAAGACGCCGCCGAGAGATTCATCTGGCAGCAGCGCGGGTTGCCAAGTTCATTTGCTAATGGAAATCCAGTTGGACATGAGGTTCAGGATCACGTAAATTTGAATAACTGTGGTTCTGATGGAAGTCATCAAACATCGGACGCCGACCGTCATATGGCATTATCTATTGACAATGTTTCCTCTGTGGTACATGCTGAAAAGTAGGAAGCAGGGTCTATTATAGGCGAAACTATGGTCTAAGAAACTGGGCACCTTTTGCAACTGCAGCAAAAGTTAATTTTTATTGTAAATTCTTCTAATTCAGCATCATCCATTTTTAGACTTGTACATAAAATGAAGTAGGAATGATGTAATGATTTCGAAACCTAATGAAGTTGGTAGTGCCCTTTTTCTTAGGCTCTTCTGCCCTTTCTTTTTATGGCATGTCTAGCTATAAGCCTACAACGGGATATGAAGTCTGGTTAGTTTGTAAAGTGTCCTTCAGTCCTTGCTGTGTAGAATATAATATATGCGGAAAACCGTTCACTATTCAGTCATTAATATATTCTTATATATATGTGGCAGCGAACAATGTTAGGTGCATTCATAGTCCAGGACTCCAGGACGTACAGAGCATGATTTAACAAGAAAAACACGTTCTTTATACACATTTGAAACATCTACTCTTATGCTGCGTATGAGGGGGATGGAAAATATAAACCATTTTAATTTTAATTAGACTACATAAATATTAGGGAATAAATATATTTTAAACTTAAGTCACATCGATTTGTACTATAGTACATGAATAGTGTAGAATAAATATTATGAGTATCTAACTCCATAAAGAATGTTGATTTCCCATTTTCTTAACCACAAAAAGAAAAAATATCTTAGCTTAACATTTTAAAATTATAAAACATATTTTTTAAACGTTTGAAGATTATCTCATCACAAACATCCATTCATCTGATGTGCCCAAGGAAAAATCAAGTAGCAATCTGTCACTATAGGCCAGGTAGCCTTAGAAAAGGATGGAGTCAATTAGCTTTACGATTAATCCAGCATGGTCCTGCTTAAACAGTAAACAGATAAGCATTGATACATTTCTATTTCTTAGAACCCATCACCCAAAAAAAAAAAACACATGAAAAGTAATAATAAAAGCGAAATGGGCATCACTTTGAGACTTTTCCAAGAGAGACAGCCATAATGCCGAAAATTTTGACTCCAAGTCGACCAACAATTTGTAGGCTACAAAAGAACTCCACCGACTCCTTTGCAGCTCCCAAGGCCATTACTCGCTCAAGCATGTTATTGATCCAATGAGATTAGAGTTTGGTGAATAATTAACCACTACTTGAAATTATGTAAATAAATAAATTACAATAAACTAAATATGTTCATTTACATAATCTGATATACTTTCAAGTTATACAAAACCAAAATAAGAAATAAAAAAATAATTTTTTTTAATACTTATCTTTTTGCTGAGATATTGAAATTTGAAAGAAGAAAGGTAATGTAATGATTCAAAGTTTTGCATTAGAAGGCCAAAAATTGAGATAATTTACTAGTTGGCCCCACGGTTGATCATCTCCATGTACTGCTGTAACGACTGTTGTCTCTGTATCCTCATTTCCTCGTTGAACTTCTTTATGAACGCTTCCACTCGCCGGTTCAACTCGTCCTGACTCAGAGACGGCTCTTTCCGCATGGTCCACGGGCTGCGAGACGAATGCGTCGGCGCCGCTTTCGGTGACTCCCCGTTGCGCGGCGGCTGAGTCGGGTTCACGACGGCATCCGCGGCCGTCATGTGGCGGCTCTGGTTCTCAAGGGCATCGGATTTCCTGAGGTGCCTCGTGAGCGGCACGTGGCGGCCTTCTGTAATCATTCTCCATGTAGTCTCCAGTGTCTCCTGCTTCTTCGGCCTCGACACCCTCAAACCTCTTCCACCTGCGCGAAGATAAATACAGTTATTGAGATCTCCATTAAGATCCGATCAGAAGTCAGAATGACGTAGTGATGACGTTAACGAGATTTTAAGGCGACGCCAGTAGAACTCCGATAACGCCAACTGTGATACTAAATTGAAGCATGTTCTCCATCTCAACTAAAAGCCTAAGCTGATAGTTTAATACAACTGATTTTTTGGACTTTTTAATACGGCGGAGTACGTAAGTGTGTTACCTTCTGGACTGGCTCTCACGGACGGTTTACGGTGAGCGAAACGTGTAGAAACGAGCGGTTTTTCCGCCGCAAGTGACGGAAGCAGCTCGGTTTCAGTTTCCGGCGGCGGATCCAGGGAAGGATTAATCTGCACTTCCCTAACCTCCTCAGCAATCACATCATCATCTTCAGTTAATTTCTCTTCATCCAAACCCTCCATAGAACCGTTAACCACCACTGGCTTCAACTCCAGCACCTCAGGCGGTTCGTCTCCGAACGCCGCCCTAAACGACTCTTCCACGACCGATTTGTACTCTGGCTGAGCAAACGCAACCAGCTCGGCCGGCGGAGGCGTCCTGACAGTAATCAACGGCTGTAACTGACCGGACAGCTGCTTCTCGAGGCGTTCGTGCTGGAAACGAGAGGCGAATACAATGGCGAGGATGATTCCGTTGATGACGAAGTAAAGGTAAGGAGGCCTGAGCCACGCCATGAACACACCCCAAATCATCCGGAAATCAAAGAGGAGCAACGGAAGAACAGACCTCATTGCCATCAACAGAGACACTGTGCCTGCAAAAATTAACAGAGTTTTCATCGAGAGAATCACAGTGCCAGCCGACAGAGCCATTTGCAACGATGCGGTGAGGTTTTGGAAAGAGAATTCTGGGAATCTGTATGGAAGTGGTGCAGACTGCGGATGAAAGCTTGGAGCTCAGGCATGGAGGAGGATATATAGACAAACGAAGTTAATCAGTAGTGGACGGCTAGACGCGGTTTGCAGGCTAAGATAACATCCTAGCCGTCCGATGACGGACATGATATCATTGGCTGAACCGTACCCGAACATATGGCCCACTAGTATGGGATAAACAAGAAAGTGTAATTATTAATAATAATTAATAATGCATGCTAGTTTGTTAGGCACTGAAACAGTTACTCCATTTATACTGATTATTATTCAAATTTTAATTCTCAGTTTTTTATTTTAAATTTAAAAAAAAAAAAAAAACTCTACATTAAATTTAAAACGCAATATTCGCATAGATGTCGTCAAATTAGGCAAAATGTCATTTTAGCCGTATTTCCAGTGTGTGCATGAACACGTGTACGTAACGGGATAATGTGAAAGAATGAATGGTTATTTTGGTCAATGGGGTTGAAGTTTGAACGTACAGTTAGTTGGTGAAGTGGGTGAACTGACCGTTAGTAAAGGAAGCGCTGCCGTATGATTGCGAAGCCGGGACCTAAGGCTGCGGTGGTACGGTGGCGGCTGACGTAATCACACGCGCCTCTTTGTGGTGGGGGGCCACCTCTGCCGACCATTCCATCTTCTTCCCAACTACCCACGGATTTTCAACCAAAAAAATTGTCCCACGAACAGCGACTAGTATTGGAAAGTGAAAATTTAAAAATTAGGTCACTAAAATGTTGTTTGGATTGAAATTTTTGTCCCACAATAAATGAAATACTCCTTTTTGTCACATTTTACCTATCATATTTATTATTTATTAGTCAAATTAATTCTTTCATTGTTTTTTTTTTAAATAATTTTTAATTATTTTTAAGTTTAATTTTTTATATTTAATAGTAATTTTAATGTAGTTTCTAAATATATAAATTTTATATACTAATACTAAATTTAATATTATGAAAAAATGAATTAAAAATAACTTAATTAAGTCTTGTTAACCGAATTAGACAAACAAAATGAGACGGAGAAATTAGTTTTTAATTTAATATATAGGATTAAGTACGGGATAATCTCAACTAAATTGATCGAATAGTTAGTTTGGTAATCATAAGATTTCGAATTCGACTCTCATAAGAGTTAGTTGCCTATTGACATTTTTTGTGACAACTTAGATTGATTTACTTCTTTGTTGTTTTAGTTGACTAAGATTTTGAGAATCAACCAACTATGGACATTCCGATTAATTTACTTGTTTATGGTCTTTTATCGATTACAATAACAAGGTGTGCGTATTTTTATGCGGTGAAAGACAGAAAATAATGAAATTAAGAGTCTTTGCTTTATTATCTTCGCTTGAATTTATAGGCAATATACTTAAGTTTCTAGTGCATAACTTCACTCACAATGTATGATTCATCTAGTCAAACAATTGCCTCTACTCCAAACAACACCTATCAGTCATCTCGAGTCCTCCCAACAAATATTACATTTTTTTAATAGTACATTTTTAATTATAAAGATTGAATCTTTTGATTCCTTAAATTATTACCAATAGTATTATCCATATGACTATTTATTTATTTATTGGTAGTTGGTATGCATCAGCATACCTGCTTGTGGCACTTAGCTTGCATAGTTGCATCATTATCATTGGTTGAAGTTTTTTAATAATTACTCGTAATTCCTAAGAAATATTATATTAATTACTTAATTAGTTATTGATTAATAGTAATTAAAATGATTGGACAATGGTTAGAATGGTTTTAAAAATATATATTTTATCTTGAGACACAAGTTACACAATTGATCAACCAACTCAAAATAAATTTATAAGCTTTGCCTTGTTAACAAGTCGTAAGCGCAAAGTTTGAATCTTGCCAAATACTAAAAAAGACAATTTACCGCATGTGTATGCTGGCAACGAATTGTGGAGATTCAAAGTACATTTGGGTTTTCACATGTTTGATACTCCCTCAAGTAGGCGTTCACAATTGGATTTTTTCACGTTTAGCATTTACCCATTCCTAATAACTGATTGTATTGGTGTGACTTTAATTTACGGTGAAATAAAAGTCCATTGAGTCAGGGAATAGTAATCATATTACGAATTGAAAGATCATATAGCAGGCCGAGTAGATTAATCATGAAACATAGGATGACAAATTTTCCGTGTCCTTGATCGAAAATTAGTTCAACTTATCAATGATTAATGGTTTTTTAAAGAAAGTCAAAACCTAATTCATTCCTTATCACGAAAATTATACTTTGAATAAGACTCGAATTCTTAATCAACATTCTTCCCCTAATTATTGGTTTCAGTAAAAAAAGAAAACTTTATCACGAAAACCTAAAAATTTCTACTTGGGTAATTCCATGTAGCTTCCCATACTTGTCGTTTTCATAATGAATGCAAATTTAGCAGGTTCTGGAAAGCCATCGCTTTCACAAGAGTGATAGCAAATCTCCATCTGGATTCCGGTGTGTATACAGTGAAAGTCCTGGGAAATTTTCATCTGCTTTCGTCCAAGTGTAACTGAACATTAATCTTATTACAGTCTTACGTTACTTGAAACACGGAGTTGTATCATTGAATCTTGGGTCTTGGCCGGTGCTCAATTATTATTATTATTATTATTATTTTAAATAATGAGAAAAATCTGTTGTAAATATTGAAGTTATACATTATAAAAACTCGAATCATAAAGAAGTAAATTAGTCTAAGTTTATTACTATCAGAAATCAGAAATTGAATTTATAACCTTGTGATTAACAAGCCATCAGTTAACCAACTTAGTTAGGGTTGTCCCGTACTCAATTTGTCTTTGAACTTATAAGTCGTTTGCTAGACATGAATTGCATTGCAATTCCACTACAATTCTTTAACCACCCCAATTAAAATGTTTAGTTGGTGGGGAGTGCAATTCCATAGAATTATACGTAATTCCCTCCTTTTACCTATGAATTGCAATTCAATGGTTATGAAAAAGGAAAAAATGAATGAAATGACACTACTACCCTTTATTATTATTATTATTATTATTTCACGAAGACATTTTAATCTTTATACAGCTTCTTTCCTTTTCGATTCCAATAATTCTATTCATTCCAATCAAACAACATAATTTGAATTGTTACTGTATTCTCACTTTATTATTTTTGGGAAAGAGTGGGGAACACCCGTGGGTCGTTAGGCGACCTCTCACTTTATTATTTATTTACCGAATTATAATTCTTTTTCTCCTTAATTACTTCCTTCCAATCAAAAGCCATGTTAAAGTAAAAAATTTCTAAAAATTTATGGTATCTTTTGGGAAAAAAAATTATGTATTCTAAATTGCGGGGAAAGGTTTGTGTTACATGCAATGCCTGAAATAAATTTACAATCTTGTAGAATAAATTTATAGTAGTAACTTTCATCGTCTTGTAAGTGTTCCTGGCATGCGTGAGAAATCCCGGTTTACTGCCGACTGTGACGCAGCGACTGAGATTGGTGGCAGAGAAGACGGCGGCCTACTTATTCCGGCACCTGTGATTCCATGAACTGGGGCTACTTGCATTGCAGTATACATGCTGCAATATCATATTTACAAAATGCACTCAGAATAAGCCAATGGTCAAAGCTTTCATTCTTCATATCTCAGCATCTTTTCCAGAAAACAATATAACAAACCCGCAATCACTACTTGAGGGTGTACATTGGGTAAACCCTGACTTGTGACTCGAGCCGATGATCACAAAGAGGTAAACCAGCCTATATTGTCAGCTGATTGGCTCAAACTATAAAAAGGCCGCTCATACTGGGAGTCAAACTTGTAACCTTAATTTGACTAACTTAGCTGAGGTTGCCACTGAAACAATATATTTCTTGATACTATGAATGTGTTTTGCTAGATTGGGACTATAGACTTTTTGAATATCTAGTGAGGAAAGGATTTTGCTATGTACCTGGAATATGGATAAGGAACCAAAGAAACAGCAAGAGGTGAAGGTTGAACATTTCCAACCTGAAACAAAAGTCACGAGATAAGGACTTTGATGGATGGTTTTGAGGGAGGGGAAGGGGGAAAGGAAAGCGAGAAGTGAAAAAGGGTTGAATTTCATCCATAGCCCAACCTGTTTAAACATTGTTCCGGGGACTTGACCCCCGTTGTTTTGCCAGCTCTGAGAAGATAAATGGTTACCATAGGGAGTGTGTGGATATGGGATTTGCGGAGCAGCATAAGGCATGCTTCCAGCAGCCAAATGACGAGGCGGCTGAGCCTGCATCTCAAGTTGTTGGTGATGGATAGCGGGTGAGACCGTAATCTTAGCCTGCACAGATGAGGCAATGTAAGGGGGGGAAGTTTCATAAAGAATCAAGAATGGAAATTAAAACTCAATCCCCTTGGATTAAAGAGGTCTTACAGGTTGGGTATTCCAATTGAAATCTTTCATCAGTTCTTCGATCCCAGGATCGAATTTGTTTTTGCCTTTTGTGACGGTGGAGGAAACATTCTGCTGTTCAACTGGTTGTGCTTGTCTAGAACCAACTGGCTTTGAAAGGACTAACGTACAGTTAGATTCCACAGGTGGAGCACACGCTTTTTTGTAATCTTGTTTAGGCTCTTCAGAGGGCTTTGAAAGGGGCGACATACATTGAGATTCCACAGCAGGAGCAGTCAATTTGCTGTCGTTTTCTTTAGGCTCCTCCATGAAGAGCATGTTAAAGAGTTGAGTAGCGTAATCAACTTTAGGTACTGAGGAAACCGGTTGGCCATTGTCTCTTGGTTTTGTCTTTTCGACCTCAGAGGAGGCTAGTTTTGAATTTTCAATCACTTTCAGGGTCGATGTTTCAGGAACACTGGGGCTCGGAGTTGCCCTTTCAGAATCAAATGAAGTCGAATTTGACTTTTCGCCTGAGGTATCTTGAAAGGCTTCAGTTCTTGGCTTTTCCTTTTCAACATCTTGGTTGGCTGGTTTTGAATTTGAGACAACTGGCTTGGTATCCATGCTAACCTGTTCGGTAAGTTAAAACATCAAGAAAAGCCGATCATGAATTCATGATTGTGAAAGAACAAAACTTTATACTGGAACCCTATGAACGAGAAAGAAAGGGGGAAAAAACGGTTATTTAAGATGAGGAATGGTTTAAACTATTAACCTTCTTTGCAGATATAGAAGATCCAGGATTGCTTGTGCTCTTTCGAAGGACTGCAGTTATATCTGAATTGGGTGGCTTTTGGTTTTCCCTCTCGTCAGGGAATCGATTGCACTCTCTTGCATATCCAACTCGTTTTCTAGTCCCAGGATCGAGCTTCTTTGATTGCTCTTCTCTGTCTGGCGTAGAGATTTTTCTATTCCCATCTCTCGAAATCCATCTTTTTTCCACATACCTAACAAATTCAGTCAATGTTATGCACAAACCGGCAAACAGTTATCTATCCAGGGAGAGAACAAGAAGGTTAAACCAAGAAAAAACTTAGTGGGTACCAATCAATCTACGATGTCATACTTTGCACGGATAAAATTTTCGATTCCAACAACTCTGTTGTACTTGGGAGGTAGTTCAGCTTCCCAATAGCTATTCGATTTCTCGTTTCCCATTGCTGAAAGCAAGAACGAGTCATGTTAGTTCTAGGCCTGCACCTTCTCAGAATGCTTAGCAAAAGTAGGAACCAATCAAACTTACTTTTGATAAATGCAACCTGCTCCGGGAGCCATGTATCTAAAGTCGCGGATCTCACCTGGAAAAAACAACAATACAGAGCATGATTTTAACACGCAGATGTCAAGAACATTCGAAGGTTGGCCATCAATGAGCTGACATGAGAAGAAAATACGACTGTCTATATAATACCGTGTTCTTTCTAATTGTAAAAGTATAGTAATCCTGGTATTCTAAGACATTTCACTGACAAGCACAAAAATTTCAACGTGGAAAAAGGAGGCACCTTTGATATATGTACTCCAAGGCCTCGGTGAACACCAGAGCATTGCAAGCATATGAAGATTCCTAGATTCACGCTAGCCCATCTTGGACCTCTGCATTAAATCATATACACATTGTAAGTAATATCATCTTGATTACTTTTTCCCCTTACAAAATGTAATTATGTTAAGTTGGATAGTTTACGGGAAAAATTGGTTTATGATACTAATATTACATACTTGCTCTTGCAATCGGCACATTCCCTGTTCTCTGGCAATTTAAGTAGCCCCTCGAGTATCTGTAAAAGGACAGGAGACAAGAATTATAGCGTTTTTTACTATGTGCAATCAAACATAAAAAGAATGAAACATAGAGTTCCATTAAAGCTAAGATAAGTATCAAACAAGAAAGCATTCAAACATCATATTTGCAATGTGCCTTACTGGCTTCCTATTTTCATAACTATGGTTTTGTTGACAGTATATAATAACAAATTTTCCCATAATACCTTCAAATTGTATCTTCAACCCACCCACCCCCCATACACGTAATTTCTGCACAAGGATACTAAGAAGTGAGAATAGTATTAGATCTCCAAATAAATCTTTTTGAACTGGTAAAAATATATGGAGTATGATTTTTGCAAGAGACTCGAGTCCAATAAACTATCAATCATCAAGCCCAATAAATTGTCTCTCTCAAAAAAATTAAAAAAAAAAAAATCATTCAACCATCTACTAACCCTCCTATCAAAGTGGGGCACTAAGAATTTCCCATTTGGAAGCATATCCTAAATAGTCTACCTGTCTTAATCATAAAATAGTAAAAATACATTATTAAAAAATGCAACCAATGGTATCAGTTCCTCTCTTATCCTTGTACCCTTCTTTTTCTAATATGCCAGATAGTTAGTACCAACATCAATTCTACAATACAAATGACTACAAAGTACAACCCCATCTACCATCTGGCAAACCACTTATTAGAAATATAATCAAAAACCAAGGTTTGGAATATACCGTAAACAAAAGAAAACAACCAGCACCCTAATTCACTAACATTTCTGCATTATTTCTGCATTATTGCTTCTGAATGATTGAAACACCTCAATCTTTTGGCATGCTATTAGTTTACAACAAATCAAAGTGTCTCCATTCTACACCCCAATGTATACAGCTGGTGCTAACCAAAGAATATCCATGGCGTCATTATAAAATTTCAACATGAGACACAACTTGAAATGCGGGCCAACTACCAAACACCAATAATTATGAAAACAGCACAAAGTATTAGCTATAGAACACCAAAGGGCAACAAAAGCCATAGATTAATTTATTTTCTCTTTTGTAGTAGCTAAAGTATTATATAACTGGATGCCCCCAATGTTGCATATTTTAAATATCTAAACCAGGAAGGATAGCTTACCAAGCAGAAGAAACCAAATACTTAAGACAAGTTTATTACAGATGTCCAAATGTTAGGTAAAATATAGGTGGGGCACATTAGTATTCTACATTTCTACCTAGGACTAAATAACTTTAGCACCTGCCAGACCTGAGGAAGACAAAGTTTGGAAGAAGTGAAGAACCTTTTTTTAGGCAGTATTCTATCAACATACTTCAATCCAAAATCCCAGAAATTGGATTAATATTAGAACTGTGATTCTGTGAACACATCCAAAAAAGATCAGTTTTTTTTTCCCCTCTGAAATTAAAATTTATAAAATCTTCTTAAATATAATTACTGTTCCTAATTTCACAGAGCTTCAAAAATTGGATGATCGATTGAAGGAAAGGTAATGAAATGAAAACAAAGGTGGGCATCAAAATAAAAATACAATAAACCAAAAAAGGAGATAAAACAGTATGTTTACACCAGATTACAGAAGCAAAATTATGGGGAAACCCCAAAAAAGATTGAGTTTTGAAGAACACCCTGTATTTAGCCAAAAAAAAAAAAAAAAAAAGAGCAAAAAATAAAAGAGTAGCCAGACCTTGGTGTGTTTTGCATTGAGCTCTCTGGAAACACTAGCCTTGCCGTTCATGGTTTGGCTCTAACTCTGTATATCTGTGGGTGTGTATATAGAAGAATCTTTAACGAGGGGAGGTGAGGAAAAAGAAAAGAAAAGAAATAGAGAAGGAGAGGAGATCGAAAGGAAAGGAAGGAATATGAGAGGTTATTAGAAGTTGGAAGATAGAAAGAATGGTGCGAGTTGCGGGAGGGAGTTGTGAAAGAGAGTCAGACTCCAAAATTGAAAAGGAAACCACTTTTCAAAATCCCATCTTTTCTCCGTTTGTTTTTGGAGGCTTCCCTGTATCTACCTAGTTAACGCGCCTACTTTTTATCATTGAAGGGCTTTTTTTTTTTTTTTTTTTTTTTTTTTTTTTTTTTAATATTAAATATATAGTTTTTTATTTAAAAAAATTCTATTACTTTTTAAAATCATTTTGTATGTATTGGGATTTGGGGGTATTGGTATAATAAATAATGTTTCTATGTTTAAGTGATCAAATAAAAATAAATTAAATTTGACAGAATGATCATAACAACATTTTAGGTTTAATGCGAAATTGTCACATAATTTAAGAAATTTAAAATTTTTAAAGATTTGATCACTTTTAAAACTATAGAATAAATTTCGTCAAAATTGAATGGTGAAAAAATGTAAAAATTTTAGCAATGTTTAAATAAAAAAGTAAATATGTATTCAATAAAATAAATTTATTAATTTTTATCATTACTGGATGGTGAAAAAAGGTAAAAATTTCAGTAACGCTTAAATAAAAAAAAAAAAAAAGTAAATATGTGTTTAATGAGATTTAAAGTTATAAAGAATTCATTTATTCCAAGACTATACTAAGTAATACAAGCATCTCAACAAAAGAAAAGAAAGCATACTTCATGCATCCAAGTTGTCCAAAATGGCCATTTATATTTTTATTTTTTTAAAGTTGATGTGTTGCTGGGATTTGGGAAGCTTAGCTAGCAGAATAAAGCTCAAGTGTATAATATTATATTTGTATAATAAAATAATGCAACTTGCACAATCATTAATTATTTTGAAGCAAGAATAGTAAGTAAATGTAACAAATTATAATTATAATATTTGTAAAAATAAAGTCAAATAATACAATAGTTAACTAATATGCTTAAGAGTAAAAATTAGTATAAGTTTATTGACTTAATAATAGGCAGGGATTTGTAATGATTCTTATGAGTGGACTTAGATATGCCGATATAACTATAGTATATGAAACATGGAATATGACAACATCAATTTGACATTATAATAATTGTCCCTTGCCTATTCCAAATGGCCTACCTATGGAAACTTTATAAACTGCCTTTAACATATTATCTATTAATTAAACTAATGTAATTAAGGATACCAAATTTGTTTTTGTTTGCAAGATAAATTATCACTACAATATAAGTTTGAATTTCAAATTAATTCTAATTCCCACATGATGAAAAAAAGGAAAAGGTCTCGAGAAGCAAATGAACCTATTTGACCACTGTACATTGGTAACATCAGAACTAAGAAGGCAATATAAAAAAGTAGGATTTGCAATTCTATCTCTTAAGCAGCAACTGATGGCTTTGAAGCAGCAGAGAGTCTGGACCTCTTCTTGGCCAAACTCTCACTGCGCCTCTCCCTCTGTTCCTTCAACCTAGAGGCAAGCAGTTTCTGGTATTCAGCAGCTTCAGTCTTGGCCTTGGCAATCCTCTGCTTCTTTTGGGCAGTGCGAGCTCTCTTCCTCTGGAGAGTCAAGGGAGTCACAAGCCTCTGTATCTTAGGAGCCTTGCTTGCCTTCTTCCCTGCAAGCACACAACAAAATATAGTTTTAATCACAAGACTGACTGAATGAGGTTTCAGAATAATCCACAAGCTTACTATGCATTCAAGTATAAGAGAGGCAGCTAATGAAGAAAACTACTTACCGGATTTGGTGGTGAAATTACGGCGGTAGGTGTTGACATACTTCCTCACATCATCATCCTTGGAGAGGTTAAAAAGCTTCCTAATCTTTGAAGCCCTCTTGGGACCTCTCATCCTTGGCTTCTCAATGTCAGTCAAGCCAGGAAGATCACTCTCACCCTTTTTCACAATGACCAAATTCAGAACAGAGAGATCCTGACTGACAATGCATCCACGAACAGACTTCCTTCTGCGCTCACCATTACGCCTACCATACCCACGGAAACATGGGGTACCTGTTTACAAATTATGAATATCATACTTCCAACCAGGTAAATGTTTAGCTAACCAAACAGCATAACAGATTGACAGTCCACATACCACGTTGGAGTAGAAGGCGAACACGGCCTGGAGTCAAAACTCCTTGTTTCATGGGAAAACCTTGTTTGTCACATCCACCCATAATCTTGAACACATATCCCTTGAACTCCTATAAAATACAAGGCATATATAGCACTTATTACAAGTTCAGTAAATAATTCAACTGAGAATGCATATTGAACTCAAACCTTGTTTGGTAAAATAGTTAGCCTATAGGCCAATTTTGGCTTATTTGACCACTATAAGCTGAATGTCAAAATTCAAAAGGCTGCTCAAAACAACTTTTTCAATTAGCTTTTTGAGAAAAGAAATTATACCAAACAGCTAATTTACCAAACACCTTTCTACAATCAGCTAATGTTATCAACTAGTTATACCCTCTAATTAATCCAATCAGCTAACAGCTAAAAACTATCAGCTAACAGTCATTTACCAAACAGGGCCAAAATGCACTTACATCTCCCAAAGCATCGCCGCTGACCTCCTGAGAAATCCTCTTGTCAAAAAAAGCTCGGCTGAATTTCAGTATCACAAGTCAGTAATTCAGTAAATACTGGTTGCAAGTAAATATGCACTGAGCTAAACCGTAAAACAAAGAATTCAGATTTATTTCATTATACAAATAGATGATTCACAATGTGCATCCCATGCTTATAATGCAAGTGTATGCTCACATCATAGCACAAGGAATGGATGTATCATCATTTATAATTTAAAGAGCAATAGAACACTAAACCACTGAGGCATAAAAGATTAAAACATAACTAATGTAATTGATTGATTGATTAACACACAATGAACAAGTCATAGAACTGTGACTTCATTAAGTAGCACAATAGTTCTAACCAATTCCTTTTTCCATAAGATAAAATTCAAACCTTATAATAAACCAGAAAAGAAAGCTACACAAAAGCTGCATAGATACAAATATAAACAGTCCAACTGATATACCCTAGGGGCCCATTACTGCTCAAAAGGTAAATGAATATGTAACTGGAACTGCAAAGGATAAGAACTAAAACGTAACATATCCAAATTTAAACTATTAGTAGCTTCTTCATTGCCTCATAGCATAGAACTTTTCTCAGTCTATCATCAAATAGATTATAAAATATCTTGTAACACATTTGAGCTGGCTATTTAGAGACAGAAAAACAGACGGCTAGTTTGTTTGGACATGAATCAACTAAAACTAACAAGAGATTCCAAAAGGAAAAATAGATCAAAACAGAAGTTCAACACAACGCAGTAATGGTGAAACTGAAGAACGAGAAAAGTAAACGTACAGTTTCTGATCATCGTCGATCTCGAGCTTCTTCTGGCACCCAGTGGTCGGATTTGCGATGTTGAACTACAAAAAAAAAAAAAAAAAAAAAAAAAGCCATAGAAGAGTAGAACAATTCAGAACATATAGTGTTTACTTAGACAATGAGAGAAATTGGGAGGTACCTTCATCTTCAGCTGCGGTACTCGGAGGAGGCAACGAAGACTGATAGAAGACTTTTTATATCACCCAATTTGGATATCCGGGCCTAATGGGTTCGTGGATGCAACGTAGAGGATGTAGAAACCCTGGTCTGTCAGGGTTAAAAATTGGCTAAGAAGCATTTTTATAGCACCGGATTTGGACGCAAATTATGCAGTGGAAGCATTGTGGACACCAGTCCAAAACAACGTCGTTTTAAGGAAAAAAGCGTCATTTCAGTTTTTTAAAAAAATTAATTTTGTCTCGCCATTAACGCCGTTATTCGTTTGTGCCATTATGAATGTACAGTTATGGGATTATGAATATACAGTTATGGCATTATAAATGTACAGTTATGGAAATATGAATGTAAGTTATAAAATTATGAATACAGAGCTCTGACATTTTGAACTTACAATTATGAATATATAGTGATAAAATTATGAACATAGAGTTCTAAAATCGTGAACATCGAGCTTTGAAAATTATGATTTTACAGTTATTGCATTATGAATGTACAGTTACGGAATTATGAATGTACAGTTATGCAATTATGAATGTACAGTTATGAAATTATGAACACAGTGCTCTGACATTATGAACTTACAATATGAACATATAGTGATAAAATTATGAACATAGAGCTCTAAAATTGTTAACATAGAGCTTCGAAAATTATGAAGTTACAGTTATTGAATTATGAATGTACAGTTACGAAATTATGAATGTACAGTTATGGAAGTATAAATGTACAGTTATGGAATTATGAACATAGAACTCTGACATTATGAACTTACAATTATGAACATATAGTAATAAAATTATGAACATATACTCCTATAACGAAGCGGTCTGAAATGCAAAAAAAAATAATAATAATAAAAATAATAGTGCCTAACGGCACTGTTACCCGTGTCCAGCATGTATGCTGGACACGGATCCATAACATAACGATTGGGATTTGGATATCTTGGCATATGGTCCATTTTTATGGGCCTGTTTAAATTATTTCAGTTTGGGCCATCGGCCCAAATTTCGTTCTCTATATAATTTCAGTTTTAAGCTATAAATTAATAAGAACTTGTTTTCAAAAAAATAAATTAATTAATAAGAACTTATATTTGGTAATGTACTAAAATAAGTTAGTAGCTTAAAATAATAACTTACTTCTATTTTTTTTTATCTTTATTATTTAAAGTCAAATAATACCATAGTTAACTAATATGCTTTAAGAGTAAAAAGTAGTATAAGTTTATTGACTTAATTAATAATAGATAGGGATTCGTAATAATTCTTATGATGAGTGGACTTAGATATGCGTATATAACTATAGTATATGGAACATGGAATTTGACATTATAATAATTGTCCCTTGCCTTTTCAAAATGGCCTACCTAAGGAAACTTTATAAACTGCCTTGAACATATTATCTATTAATTAAACTAATGTAATTAAGGATACCAAATTAGTTTTGTTTGCAAGATAAAATTATCACTACAATATAAGTTTGAATTTCAAATTAATTTTTTGATTAAGATTTAAATGATAAATTTGAGGTCTTGATGGCCCTTCACCCCCGGCCCTGAAGATTGTGAAAGGAGGTAAATTGCTAGATATATCTCAATGATGCATGTGTGTGGGTGCTTTATTTGTGTCTCAGGCTGAGATTCTCTCCCATTGAAGATTCGAACATGAATGATTGCTGGACACTACATTACTCACCCCCGCCCTCCAATGATGATTCAAACTAGGGTAATTGTTAGACACAACCGCACTTAGACTTTCAACCACTAAACTATGCTTCGGGAGCCAAACCTAAGAACCTTTATATACATTTGAAAGCTAACGGAAGCCAACCTAAATTGCTTATTGCTCAAACTAAAAAATAGATCAGACAATTTCTACCTATAAATTTTGAAATATTGTAATTGCCAAGTTAAGTTACCTTTTGGCCCCAAATGTGCTCCAATTGGAGCTATTAGTAGAACAACATTTGGATTAATTTGAATAAATATAGTTTACGTGTCAATATATGTAAGATTTGGATATATTCATTTGAATGACATGTATATATATGTGAAATTTCAATATATGATATCCAGACTAAATTTGTATTACAATACAATATAACTAAAAATATTAGAACCAATAATCAATTGAGTTCAAACAAAATATACAACTTGATATATATATATAGGGCTTGTAATAAGTAAAAGAAGATAATAATGAATGTAATTTTAACAATGAACAAATATGTAAATAGATAAGGGGGAGAATATGTTCATGTAAGGAATGAACGATAGATGATTTTCTGTTTTCTACTTCTCCAATGTTGGAGAAATCTTCCAGTTAATAACGAGCCCTAGATGTCCACCCATTGCACTTTTAAATAGAGGAGTCTCAAGCATCCTGTCATCATCCTGAAGGGCATGCGCATATAAGGTGTCAAGGATCTCTCGGATTTCGGGTGGGCACCGGTCATTGACCCGGCCGGAAAACTCCTCGCAGGCAACCGCTAACAACTTCTTGACGCCGAGAAAATAGGCGGCCAGGATGAGGCGGCAGAGAGCCAGCAAATCCACCTTCACGAACTCAGCATCAAACCGCTTTAGCTGCTCCTGCACGTCGGGGTCATCGGAGGAGTCCTTCTCGAAGTGGTGTTTGCAGTATTCCAGAACCAACGCCATATTCTTGGCGTCCACTTTGGGGACGAAGATACCGTCGGCGGCGCCGCCGCCGCTGCTGTCCACTATGGTTTTGATATTGCGGCAAAACTGCACCACCATGGATTTCTCCTCCGTGAATTGCTCGCCGTCGGAGCTCATAAGCATCAGAAGGGGCTTGTTGTTTTGCTCAGATGATGAAGCCATGGCCGCCTGTACACTGTATTCTAGAACGATATGATGATCGTCAAGTACTAGCGAATGTTATATATAGAGAGCTAGGTTTTATAATGCCGCGCGATATGATGATTGATCTTCTGATTTGCACTATATATATATATATATATATATATATAGAGAGAGAGAGAGAGAACTGCTTTCACCTTTTCCTAATTCTACCCAATCAAGAATACTACATTGCCAAAATTTATGGATTTCCATAAAAATAGGTTCGCATACAGATAGGATATAATTAAGAATATACTACTTTCCCCTTTTCCTAATACTTACTTGATACGGAATACTTAGATAACATTTACTAATTCGATCAGAGACTGAACTGAATTGGTGTGAGTGTTTTATTTTTTTCTTAGGCTTAAATTCTCCCTCATTGAAGATTTGAACATGAATAATTGATGGGCACTATAGTACTCACAAGTCACACCCCCAATAGAAGATTCAAATTTGGGGTAATGGTTGGACACAACTACACTTCGACTTTCAACCACTAAGCTATGCTTTTGGAGCCAAACTTAATTAAGAGCCTATATATATATATATATATATATATATATATATATATATATATATATATATATATATATATATGAAAAAGCTAGCGAGAAAGTCAACCTAGATTGCTCATAGCTGATTTGTTCAAACAAAAAAATAGTGAGTTCCTACTTGTAAAATTTGAAATATTGTAATTATCAAGTTAAGATGTTGGCCCAAATGTGCTCCAATTGGAGCTATTAGTAGAGCGTTATGCTGTGCAACTGGTTCACACGGTTGCAAAAACGACGTCGTTTTGACGTCCAACTTAAAAAAAAAATAAAAAACAATTTCAATTGCCGTTAGCTTACACACGGTTGCACATCATAATTTGCCGCTATTAGTAGAACAAATTTTGGATTAATTAATTTGTTGAGTCACAATGCCGCATAAATAAAATATATATCGTGTCAATATAATCTTCTACTATATAATAAAGCAAAACTTTTTTGGTAAATATAAATCAGTAAATAGTTCCGTCCAAACAAAACGATGCATTTTGGGCAAGATAGAGGTATAATTGTTAATACAAAACCGCGCAATACAAATCAATACAAAAGTAATTACATTGCTGATATAAAATTTACATTGCCAATGGCACAATGCATACTTAATTAACATGAGCGGATACATTAGTATGTTAATTAAGAGACTACTAGTAAAACAAATTTTAATTAATTATTCTTCTCCCAAGTACGACATACTAACAAATTTTAATTAATTGATGACTAGTTAAATTATGATTCCGAAAGCTAGGAAAAAAGCATCACTATAATATGTCGAAGAGGCTAGGACTCATTTATTAATGGAAACTATTTTCTGTTTTTTATTCTCAATTCAGAAAACTTGTTCACAAATACTTTTTTTTTTCAAATTTATTTTGTAGATTAACGCTATAAAATTAACAAGTTAAATTTCGAGTGATTTTTAGACATTACATTTAAAATATTTTATAGTTTAAATAGAATAAATATAGTTTTTGCATCCAATATATGTAATTTTTTTTTACATTTGATATCCAAACCAAATTTATATATGTATATAACATAACTAAAAATATATCCAAACCAATAACATATTAAGTTCACCTAAACTAATAACCTATTAAGTCTATTTAAAAAAAAACTATTAAGTTCACCTAAAATTTAGTTTAGATACTATTAATATTTTTTGAGTTAATATTTAATATATTTTTGGATATATTCATTTAAATGACATGTATATAAATATATAATTTTTACTTTGAATTTAGTATAGATATGTGAATTTTTAGTATCTGATATCCGAACCAAACTTGTATTACACTATAACATAAATATCCAAACTAATAATCAATTGAATTAAGTCAAAATATAAAACTTGGTATAGAGTTTGATTTTAATTTCGATAAGTAAAAGAAGATGATAATAATGAATGTAAACCTAGTAATGAATAAATAAGTAAAGTGATAATAGTGAGAATATGATTATAGTAAAATGTAGTGCGCAATAGATGATAAATAATTCTATTTTATATTTAAAAAAAAATTATTTCCTATTTTCAAAATGAAAAACTGAGCTAGTAAACATATTTTCGAATTTCTATTTTCTAATTCTCCAATTTTGAAGAAATAATTTTCCACGGAACAAGCCCTAGATCTCCACCTATTGCACTTTTAAATGGAGGAGCCTCATCATCATCCTGAAGGGCATGCGCATATAGGGTGTCAAGGATCTCTCGGATTTCGGGTGGGCACCGGTCATTGACCCGGCCGGAAAACTCCTCGCAGGCAACCGCTAACAACTTCTTGACGCCGAGAAAATAGGCCGCCAGGATAAGGCGGCAGAGAGCCAGCAAATCCACCTCCACGAACTCAGCATCGAACCGCTTTAGTTGTCCCTGCACGTCGGGGTCTTTAGAGGAGTCCTTCTCGAAGTGGTGTTTGCAGTATTCCAGAACCAACGCCATATTCTTGGCGTCCACTTTGCGGACGAAGATACCGTCGGCGGCGGCGGCGCCGCTGCTGTCCAAAATGGTTTTGACATTGCGGCAAAACTGCACCACCATGGATTTCTCCTCCGTGAATTGCTCGCCGTCGGAGCTCATAAGCATCAGAAGGGGCTTGTTGTTTTGCTCAGATGATGAAGCCATGGACGCCTGTACACTGTTCTCTACAACGATATGATCGTCAAGTACTAGCAGAATGTGATGATTGATCTTCTGATTTGGACTATATATATACATATATAACTGCTTTCACCTTTTCCTAATTCTACCCAGTCAAGAATACTACATTGCCAAAATTTATGGATAGATTCCCATAAAAATAGGTTGGCATACTATACGAGGTAGAATTAAAGAATATACTCCGTACTATATAACTGCTTTTTCATCTGGTGACCTGGTCTTTTCCTAATACGTACTCGATACTGATAATATTGACCAATTCGAGATTGAACTGGATTAGTTATATATGGTTATAATCCTCTATTTTCATCTACTAATAGAGTTGCAATTCGAAAGGACATTATTAAGGGCCAAGCATGAAAAACGAAATAGTTTGAAATATTCGAGAATGAGGCAAATTATGCCATGGACCCGTGCATTGTGGACACGAGTCCAAAACGACGTCGTTTTTAAGAAAAACGCGTCATTCCAGTTAAAAAAAAATTAATTTTGTCTCGCCGTTAACGGCGTTATTCATTTGTGCCATTATGAATGTACAGTTATGGGATTATGAATGTACAGTTATGACATTATGAATGTAAGTTATAAAATTATGAACATATAGTGATAAAATTATGAACATAGAGCTCTAAAATTGTGAACATGGAGCTTCGAAAATTATGATTTTACAGTTATTGAATTATGAATGTACAGTTACGGAATTATGAATGTACAGTTATGTAATTATGAATGTACAGTTATGCAATTATGAATATACAGTTATGAAATATGAACACAGAGCTCTGACATTATGAACTTACAATATGAACATATAGTGATAAAATTATGAACATAGAGCTCTAAAATTGTAAACATAGAGCTTCGAAAATTATGAAGTTACAGTTATTGAATTATGAATGTACAGTTACGAAATTATGAATGTACAGTTATGGAAGTATGAATGTACATTTATTGAATTATGAACATAGAGCTCTGACATTATGAACTTACAATTATGAACATATACTCCTATAACGAATCTGAAATTTAAAAAAAAAAAAAAAAAAGATAACCGTGCCTAACGACATTGTTACCCGTGTCCAGCATGCTGGACACAGGTCCAGAGCATAACGATTGTGAGAATGATTCACCGGCCGGTCCTGGCCATACCCTAATTTTTGGGGACCCAATTAAAAAAAAATTATTTTAGATATAATTTATTATTTTCATACTTAATAATTATTTTTAAAATTTATTTATTGATCTTAATTGTAATTGAAAATAAAATTTCAAAAGTAATTAACATTGAAATTTTAATGAATAATTTTGTATTTAAATATTAACGAAAATGACATTTTTAAATTAACTTTTGAATTGTATTTTTTCTTTATTAAATTTTTATGCATTATATTTGGACAAAAAAATTTAATTACATTTTTATTTTTATCATAGAATAATACAATTACTTGAAGTCCAAATAGATTTTAACTCAATTATCTCAATTATAGAGATTTTCTAGATCTTCTACACTTCTATCTTAATCTTTTCGAGGTAGATTATGTTTCTTACCTTTATTATAATTATAGCGAAATTTAAATATTAACAAAAAATTTCTCTCTCCCTATGTTCTTGTATCTTTATTATTGTCGTCTTTGTATTTGTAGTTTATCCTATATTTTTAATGGAACGATCCTGATGATTCACTATAAGAAAAGTCTAAAGAGAAAAGACACAATTTAATACTATATTATATATAATATTGATCGATCTGAGACTCAATTCAATTAGTATTAATTCTTTCAAAATTTCACCTCTGTGACCAGTTGAGCTGCCCATACGGGTACAATTAGTATTAATTGATCAAGAATATGAATAACAATAATGTAGTATAAAAACCATTGTTGCATGCCCTCAAAATTCACTATTACCAAAGAGCCACAACCATGCATAAAGAACAATATAATATTACCAAAGAGCCACAACCATGCATAAAGAACAATATAATAATGCATATATAGGATTTGAAAGAACGTGGAGATTGCCAGATAATTGGATCATGAGTTCAATTCGTACATCTCCTATGTTTTTAATATTTGGATTATTTTCATCCATACAAGCATTTTTTTTTAACGTAGTTGCATTCTTACTTCTCATAACTCGAATTCAGGACTCCAATTAAACGGAAAGAGACCATGCTGTGTGAGGCAAATTATGTTCTGGACTCGGGTCCACCTTGCAAGGTGGACTCATGTTATATTCACAATTTTTAAACTCTATATTCATAATTTACAAACTGAATATTCACAATTTTAGATCTTAATATACAAAATTACAGAACTTAATATTCACAATTGTAGAACTTAATATTCACAATTTTTAAACTCTATATTCACAATTTTAGAATTGAATATTCACAATTTTAGATCTTAATATACAAAATTATAGAACTTAATATTCACAATTTTTAAACTCTATATTCACAATTTTAGAACTGAATATTCACAATTTTAGATCTCAATATACAAAATTACAAAACTCAATATCCACAATTGCAGAACTCTATATTCACAATTAAAAAACTATATATTCACAATTACAGAACTGAATATTTATTGGCTGAGTTGTTTCAATAACTTTTTTTAAAAAAAAATCATTGGCTGCGGAAACGGTGCCACTAACGACACTGTTATTTTCACACGCACAAAATGCATCATTTTAGACCTAGATCTACCTTAAAAGGTGGACCCGGGTCCATGGCATAACTATTGATTTCATTTATAACCAACCATATTTTATTTGAATTATTAAGATAACTATTTTAATATATCAAAAAGAAAAAAAAAATCAATTTGCGAGGTGAAAAAATTGCAATGGGCTGTGTAAATTGGGTTACTCAGATAAAGATTGGTTGATCCAGCCCAACGACATACAGGCCATTGAAACGCTGTCGTTCTCTTCCTCATTGGCCTTCACTTACTCGCCGTATTCCGCCTGCTTACTGGTGGTGCTGATGATAGTTCGAGCCTCGAGGCTTTAAGCCTTTAAGTTCCATAGATAAGGTAAAGTGCTGTATATATTTACCGCCAACTCTCCAACTTGTTTATTTTTATTTTATTATTATGTATTGATTCAGTATTTAAATTCCCGCCTTCCTATTCTTCTTGTTGTTGGAGTGATGGGAATGCAATTGGAAAAATTGAGAGCTTCTGGTGCGATAAAAATACCGTCTTTGATCATTCTAGTGATTACAAATGACTGAAAGACTTGAATAAACATGTAATTGCAAAGAAAAAAGAGAGTATATAAGTGATAAGATTTTTCTGAGCTAGTTGGATAATAGTGGGTTGTGCTGTCTGACTTTGCAAAATGATCTTTGTTCTTTGAGGCACCATGGGGGCTTGAAATTTTGCCTTCCCTGTTATGCTGTCCCTGTCCAGGTGAAAAATAACTGGAGTGGGGGGACATATGCTTCTAGGTTCAGGACAGTCTTTAAGATTTGGATATAAAGTTAAGAAATCTTAGAACATGACCTCAGTTATGTATTGGTTTTGCTGTTCTTGAGATATACAAGGTTTCATATTTCAGTTTTAATATATTTGAAACTTGTGGATATGTCATGTAAGGAGGCTAAAGAGATTTCTTGAGCCCTGAATTTCTCAACCAAGCAATGTCCTTATTCCTTGTGGATTCTTCTGTTATTATCCTGGTGGCTGCTGTTTAATGGAATTTGTGTGTATTATTAGTTTATTACTCATATAGTCCCCTTGTGACCCTAGCCGACAAAGGACCACAAGGATGTAAACCACCCTAGATTGCCCATAGCTGACTGACTTAAACCGATAAGGTTAATAAGCTACTTTTGTTGGAAGTCGAACTTGTAACCTTGTGGTTACCAAGGTCTTGTAGTTACTGAGTCAACTGCCTGACCAATTTGGCTGGGGTTGCCCCTGCATGCGTCTTTTCTATGCTATTGTTGCCTGATAGAGTGATACGACTAATGCTATCTCTTATTAGTTGCAGGATTTCTGCACAGGGATTCATTAATTTTTATTATTCTCTTCAGTGCTGCAGCTGTTACACTATAGGAGTGGATTTGCAAAAGTGTGCATTTTAGGATACAGAAGGCTGCTGGAAAATAAAGACAAAGAAGAGTGTTGCAGCAGTTGATATAGGCCAGAAATGAAACTTTTTGATGCTCATTGTCATCTCCAAGACCCTAAGATCTTTAATATGGTCCCACAATTAATTAGGACCACTCTTGATACAGGAGTGGTTCATTTTGCGGTGAACGGTGTGTGTGAGAAGGATTGGCACATAGTCAAGGAGATGAGCAACAGCTATCCTTGTGTTGTTCCAAATTTCGGGATCCATCCCTGGTTCATTGCCGAGAGGACACCTAATTGGTTGAAAACATTGAAGGAATACTTTGAGGCTACACCTGAAGCTGCGGTTGGTGAGATTGGTTTGGATAAAGGTTCAATGGGAAAGAAGATTGATTTTGCTGATCAGGTTGAAGTCTTCCGCCAACAACTTCAGCTAGCCAAAGAGTTGAAAAGACCCGCGTCTATTCATTGTGTCCGAGCTTATGGGGATCTTCTTGAGATACTGAAATCTATGGGTCCGTTCCCTTCTGGAGTTATCCTTCATTCTTTCCTTGGCTCTGCTGAAATGGTTCCTGAATTTGCTAAGCTTGGTGCTTACTTCTCGTTCTCTGGGTTTCTGATGTCTTTGAAAGAAAGCAAGGCAAAGAAGATGTTACGTTCAATTCCTATCGAAAGGATTTTGTTGGAGACAGATGCACCCGATGCTTTTCCAAAATTAAACAATCCAGACACTTTGTTTTTGATAGAAGAGGAAACCTCTGCTTCTAAAGAAAGTGGTGGTGAAGGACAAATTCCAATTCCTGAAACTGATAATTCCGCCAAAACTTTGCCTTCTTCGTCACTGCCAAAAGAAACCCTAAACCATCCAGCCAACATCCATCATGTTCTTCACTACGTAGCATCTTTACTTGATATGAGCAAAGAAAAACTCACTGATTTAAGCTTTTCAAATGCAAGGCAGCTGTTCTCATACGAAGGTTCAAAAGTGCAGCAGTGAGGTAGTGATTGTGTTCCTTTTGTTTAGATATTGCGTCATTGAAGGAGTAAACAAACTTCAACTTCAGTGGTCATTTAATTGCTAGATGCAATGCAATTACTATTCTAGTATTCATTTCAATTCTTTCATGGAACTATATATTAAAATCTCACAATACATTATAATCTTCGGGATACCTCTCTCGTTGATATGTGCATTTTAGCTTCGAGATTAGTTCAGATTGCTTTCTCTTAAAGTAACCGAGGCACACACTGTCTGTGCCTGAGCCCCCTGGATCTTCTTCATACTTGTATTGCAAGACATGTTAACTTCAAAATAGAGTAAGGTAACATGCATGTTGGTGTTGAAATTTTGTGCATTTGCGTGTGCGAGGAAATGGGCAAAAGTAATCCAAATATTTAAAGTGATGGGTCGTTTCTTGCTTACCAAATAACCTACCTGATGTATATGTATCTGGTTTTAGCATGGGCGGTTACATGCTTTCGTGGCGAGTTGTGCATTGGAAGAGATAAAGATGAAACTTGAAAGGGAAAGGGATGAAGATGAAGATGAAGGCCCTGTTCGGTAAAATAGTTAGCGTATCAGTTAATTTTGGCTTGTTTAATTACTATTAGCTGTTTGACTTGGCTAAACAACCAATATAAATATTTGATTAATTAGTTTTTTGTAATTCTAAAACACTAAAATTCAAAAAGCTGCTCAAAGCAGCTTTTTATTAGCTTTTTGAGAAAGTCATTTTGTATGTAATCATCTATTCTACAACTAGTTAATGTTATCAACTAGTCAAACACATTAACTCAATCAGCTAATAGCTATTTACCAAATATCCTCTAAGCCATTACAAAACGTAGCATAGTTGTCATAGCTGATCGGTTAAGTTCCCATTATATATGTTTCTTCTTAATTACAGTTTGAGATTCCTCTTGCGTCAAGAATTGAAGTGCCTGCCTGCCGAATTTAATTACTACGTAGCTTACACACAATGAGAATCGTTTTCTTTTCCTTTTCCTGTGTGTATATATATTTATTGAACATACCCAAAAACACAAACATCATCTATCGGAACAAAAAAGGGAATTGAAAAAAATGAGGAGATTTAGATTACTAGGTTGCGCGATCTTCTTTATGTTTCTGGGTTTCATTGACGAGCCTGCTGGCGTTGAAGCATGGAGTAAAGAGGGTCATATGATGACATGTCGCATTGCACAGGTAACAAATTAAAAAAAGAGTAATACCCTATAACACATTATTAGCATTAAAAATATGGTTTAATATGACAAGTTCAAGTCTTGATTGAGGAAAATATATTTGTAGGGTCTTCTGAACGAGGAGGCAGCGCATGCTGTGAGCATGTTGTTGCCGGACTACGTCGACGGCGACTTGTCGGCGCTGTGCGCATGGCCGGACCAAGTGAGACACTGGTATAAATACCGGTGGACTAGCCCACTCCATTTCATCGACACCCCCGATCAAGCTTGCAACTTTGATTATGACAGTAAGTCTATGTGATCAAACACTTACCGCTGAGCCAAAAATTATAACTACCCATAGTGAAAATCACATTTTCTAGAGACAAGTCAGTATTGGACTTGGTTTTCATGGGCTTTCGTCCAACAATCTCCTAGTTACCAATTATTAAATTTGACCATTTATTAATCTCCGCCCAACATATACACTCTATTTTTCAATTTGTGCATTTAATTTAACAAAAATGAAATTCATAAACGAAAGGGGACTGCCATGATCAACATGGAGTGAAGGATATGTGTGTTGCCGGTGCCATCCAAAACTTCACCACTCAGCTCTCTCACTACCGGGATGGAACTTCCGATCGTCGACGTAAGAGATCCATAACACCTTCATTCTGTGTATTACTCTTTTTTATTTTTTATTTTTTTTTATAAATAAATTAGAGCCAGCAACTTATTATTATATCTGAATATTATCTATGAACACAGATAATATGACTGAGGCTTTGCTGTTCTTGGCACATTTTATGGGAGATATCCATCAGGTAAGAAAAACTACTCCCATAATCAATTCCGATCCCAAGAAAGATTTATCATAAAATATCGTCAAAATGTTTTACTTTTTCAATCATGGTTTGAAGTTTTAATGAAAATCTAATGATTTAAAGTTTCGTCGAAACATTCTTATAAAACTTAAAATTTTGTAGTTGTCAAGTTAAAATTTAGTCTTTTTAGTTTGAGTCGATTAGCTATGAACAATTTAGTATAATTTACTTTTTGAGGTACCGTTTCATCTAAAATCGCATTTGGAATAATAGCTGTGAGTTGTCTCGTAAATCGGAGCAACATTCTTAAACTTGCATATTCTTTTTTGTATGATGCAGCCAATGCATGTCGGATTCACAACCGATGAAGGAGGAAACACTATAGAACTGCGTTGGTTTAGGCACAAGTCAAACTTGCACCATGTAAGTAGCCTAGCTAGCTAACTGGTTTCTTGATATATTTTTTAAAAATCTTAATTAGTACTCGTATAATAATTAGTTTTCAGCAAATCATAATAACTGCGAAATTAAAGTTAATTTATGCTATCTTTCTAAAAAACTGGGGAAAATTACATTATAGGTATGGGACAGAGAAATAATCCTCACGGCAGCAAAAGATTACTACGGCAATGATGTAAACCTTCTTCAAGAAGACATCAATAGAAATTTCACTGACGTAAGTGATTACTATACACAAAATTGCTTGCAAGCTAAGCAATAAGCAAGCTACCTAGGAATACTAACGTCAAAGACATTAATTGTATAGTAATTTATACGATTTTCTTTATATATGTTGTCGTCAGGGGATATGGACCGATGATGTTGTGTCATGGAAGGAGTGTAGTGCCGATCTCTTCTCTTGCGTAAATAAGTAAGTTGTGTGTATTATACTTTTAAACGATATACGTTATTATCAGACATATAAAATAAGAAGAAATTAAAGAAAATTCGTATATTTGCAGGTATGCTGTAGAGAGTATAAATTTAGCCTGCAAATGGGGTTACAAAAATGTGGAGGCTGGTCAAACTCTGTCAGGTACACTAAATTAATTGATTTATTTTATTTTATTCCAATTGAGTATATATATTTTTTTTAAAAAAATAAATAAATAATTGGGTGATGAATGCAATATAATATATATAATGCAGATGATTACTTCAACTCGAGGCTTCCAATTGTGATGAAACGTGTAGCCCAGGGTGGAGTCCGATTGGCTGCGATTCTGAATCGGATTTTTGGAGAATCCAACCAAGATTCATTTTGAGTGGCAGCTTAACCTCTCACTCATTTCATTATATAGAAATTAATGGCAAAGTTAAAAGTTGAATGTCACTAGATAGCTGGCTAGCACCTGATTGTACTATTGATCTCACAATGTGCATAATGTAATTTATTTGAATCTTTAAAAAATAAATTCAGTTGCATAATTTTTTTTTTAAAATAAATATATGACTCCCATCTTCTCAAAAATATTTTGTGGGTCCAAAAATAAATACCTGCTTATGGGTCTCAATAATCTCAAAATAGTAAACTAATTTGTAGCATGATTTTTTTTTTTGATTTTTTTAATCACAAAAGAAACACAATCAATATTTGAAAGTATGTATTAAATAAATCTTGCCTTCTGATCATAGCTGGTAAATGATTATAAAAAGACACATTAACATAGTTAATCACTCAAACTAAAAAAGTCAACAAATTATTCTTATTTAGAAGTAAAATTTGTAACTTTATAATTACTAATTTTTTAAGTTTAGGTAGCATGAAAATGGAAACAGAAGACTAAGAAACATATATAGGACACAAAACGCTAGGAAAATGTATAAATATATACATAGAAAATTATAACTTTATAAGTAACAATTAAAATCTTGTTACTATTCTTTGAGCTTAGGTAGCATTGCATGAAAATAGAAACGGATGTACAAGAAAGCTAGCTAGCTAAGGTTACAATCAAGAAGCTAAGATGGATATGATCACCCTGAGGCCTGATCTGAGCTCCATGATTCTCTAAAATGACCAAAACTGGGCGGAACCTCAGTTACGTTTTCATTGAAGTTGGGATCTCCGGCGAGACTGAGAACGAGCCCCAAAAGAGAAGATGGAAGACAGAGAGTGAGCTAGCCCCAAAACTACGGCCACCTTCACTTGTCCTCTCTTCGGGAGGGGCTGCCGTCGCCGGTACTGGACCTTTCCTGTCATACTCATCTCTGCCCTTGCTTTTGCCATCGTAGTATATATACTCTGCCGCAGCGGTGGTTGGTGGAGGTTGCGGTGGCGATTCTCCAGTTATTATACAAGAATAATGTGGCCGGAGTAGTGTCTAGTGTCCAGCGTCTACTACATATATATAAAGCCCAGTGAGTTAAATATCCTTTTTCTTCTGGTCATAATTACATTTCTATCCTTCTCTATAACTCTCGGATTAATGATTGAGAAGGACATGTATATTTACCATGCACTTATTTGACGATTTTGACCTCACTGTGTTCACATCCATTTTCATAAAGTTGCATTCACACTCTTTTGTTGCTTTCACCATATATATTATTGTTGAGCATCATATATATATATATATATATATATATATATATATATATATATATATATATATATATATATATAGAGAGAGAGAGAGAGAGAGAGAGTGTTTTGGGATCAGATGCGAATAGGTTGCTGGCGGTGCGGCAACTCTAGTACATTTAAAAATATTTGACGGCGCATTTGGAAATATTTGATGGTGCATATCAAAGAGTGAAAATCAATGAAAATGATAAAAAAACGCGCGTGACATTTTTTTTTAAATTTACGGTACGTGTATTTAGAAATGTTTGACGGTGCATATCGAAGTTTGAAAATCAATGAAAAGGGAAAAAATATGGTAATATTTTTATAATTTTCTGTAATTATAAATGTGCATTTGAGAATGATTGACGGTATATTCGAGGATATATAACTGAAAGTACATTTAGAAACTCTTGAGTGACACTGAGAGGAAGGCCGATGATGAGAGCCAGGTAGTGCTAATGCAATTTAAAATGCTTGACGATATGTTTAGAATTGATTGAAGGTGCATCTGCACTCTCGGAAGTATATATATATATATATATATATATATATATATATATATATATATATATTTCCTCAATGACCGACATTGATTAAACAAGTGATTACAAGGCATATAAAATAATACATGAAAACTGTTTAGAACTTAGAAGGCCGGGGGCATTTGTGTCATTTTAGGAGAAATCATAAGTTGGGAAAAAGCCAAAAATTATTTATCAAATCAAACAATACTAAGTGGAAATCCTCGTCATATATAGTGGTGGAAGCTAGCAAAATTAACATAAAATAATGGTGGATGGTTATCTACAAAACATGATTATCAGATAAATATGATGTAGTTGGTTACCTATTTGCATAAACATCACGTGGGCATTAATATATCTTTGTTCTCATATACATATCATCAGCACAAAAGTGAAGAGTAATAAGTCATCGTTAATGAATAGTACATGATTCTTGTACCAAAAAATCATGAGTATGATATTTATCATTCTTGATTACATTGATCCTCTGCATATAATCTTAGCTTCCTAGTTTAATTTACTTCTCTTATGTAATTTGTAAACTATTACACATGAACAGAACTTATGTAATGTATACACTTAAATAGTATCTATAAGTTTCCCTCGTAAAAAAAAAAAAATTATCATTTAATTTCTCTTGGTGATTTGTAAAGTGAGATAGATGAGATGCATATATGGTTCCCAAGCCACCAATGGTGGCTTTCTGTCACTGCCTTATCCCTAACTTCCAACTAACTACAATGCATATCAAAATCATACATTGAACATAGACCCTTTTGTCTTTTAGCTAAGTCAAGATTCAATGCAAGAATTAGCCACCCTACTAGTACTTATTATATGCCTTGTGATCTCACCAAACACATCAAATCTATACATCTACATCTATATATATAATTCACTAGTTAAAATAAAGTTAGTGATCCAGTGGATGAGCATTTATATACTTGCATTTAATTTGAATCAGATGAGCTCCACAAATAATATCAAGATTTTAGCTCCACTAATTTAGTTTAGAGTCGTTGGTGTTAGACTTCTTGTGAGTGTAGTGTCAAAAGATTATGTTTTATTTTTATTTTGATAATTTGACTTTTTATTTCTTTTGTAAATACTCTTTTATCGATCAATATAATTTCATGACAGAATTAAATTTCATGACAGAATTATAAACTCTCAGAACAATATTTTTCTTATCTCAAATACTGCCCACTAAACCATTAAGTTAAGCCCGTGCGGATAGAATAATATTTTTCTTTCAATAATACGTGGAGCGTGGGATAGTCAAAGTAGTAAATTCTGCGGTCAAACTTGACTTCTTTCTGGAACTTCTACGAGAAAGACAAATAGTCACATTTGGACTTCTGATCGAGAGGATTGGTGATACACTCTTAATTGGAAGATGCAATCAATTAAGAATGTAACTATGGTATGAGTGCTAGAACTATAAAGTTGATAAAATCGTTTATATTAGCTAGTAATTATATGTCGTGTAATGTATTGATTGAGTGTTTCTATTAACTTTCTTAGTTTGAGTCGGTCAATTATTGGTAACTATATACTTGTATTTAACAAGATGCGTTTCACTCAAAACACACATTTAAATATTTAAATAACAACTGCAGATTTTTCTGTAAATCAAATAGCTCACATAATCAATAAATAATTTCCATTACTTCTCTCATTTTCCTTTTTCCTTCTCAAGTAAAAAAAAAAAAAAAGAAAGACAAACAGAACCTTTTGGAGGGAGGTCTGTACCAGCAAATTATTGTGTGGGTCATAACAAAAAGTACATTTTTAATATATTAAAAGAGTTAATACCTATCAAGACTATGTGGTTTAATGGTACCTGAGTTGGACTTCCATTTGGAAGGTTGTGAGTTCAAGCCTTAATGGAGGTGTTATTGGTTTTTTGTGTTTGTGTTTCAGTAGGTTGAGAAAGTATATGAACAGATACTACATAAAAAAAGAGTTAATACCCATGTTTAATCCTAAACTTTCAAATTGACTATATGTGGTCCTTCGACTTTCAAATTTAACCATTCATGGTCCAAGTTAACCACCCATGGTCCTTCAACTATTAAATTTTAACCAACCATGGTCCTTTCAAGAGGACCACGACTGGTTAAATTTTGAAACTTGAAGTACTATGGGTGGTTAACTTGGACCACAAATGGTTAAATTTAAAAGTCGAAGGACCACAAATGGTCAATTTGAAAGTTTAGGACTAAACGTGACAAAATCACTATACTCGGAGGACCTCAGATGGTATTAAAATACATTATTCATGTATTGGATGTACATTATACAAACTAATGTATTTTCAATACTCAAATAATGTACTTTCCATTAATATAATGTACATTTAAATATACTAAAAGTACATTATTTATGTATTGAATATACATTATTTGATAGTATGATCCACATAGTTGTATGGGCACAATAATGACTAGTCTGTAACTCTGTAAGCCATATATGTTGTGCATCCGTATGCATCGTGCATGGTGCATACGGATGCAAAAACGACGTCGTTTTGCATCAAAACGCGCGTCCTACTTAAAAAAAATCAGTTTCGATTCCTAGCAACAACATTATGTTATTCATTTTTTAGTTCATTCATTCTGGATTTTTTAGTTATGAAATTCTGGATGTATAGTTCTGGATGTGTAGTTATGAATTTATGGATGTGTAGTTATGCAATTCTGGATTTATAGTTATGAAGTTATGGATATGTAGTTATGCAATTCTGGATTTATAGTTATGAAATTATGGATGTGTAGTTATGTAATTCTGGATGTATAGTTTTGAAATTATGAATGTTTAGTTATACAATTCTGATTTTTTTTTTTTTTTAAGTTAGACGTCAAATCGACGCCGTTTTTACATCTATATGCATCATGCATGGTGCATACGGATGCACAGCATAACGATCCGCTCGTATGCTTGCTTGCAAATCATAGATGGAGGCCCAAATGTATAGCCTAATATATGGTTGTGTAGGTCCAATTAACCTCTCTCACAAGGCCTATAAATTCTTCTTGGCCCTATATATTTCTTCGGTCGTTTTCGGTATAACGCTGTAAAGTCCAGAGCATTACATATCTGATATCTCCGCTTGGACCTCTTGGGTTGTTTTTGATAACTCAGCTTTTTTAATTTTGTCGAATTATATCACAAATTTTACAAATTTGTCTTCGGGCCAATAAAAAGATAAATTGAGTCAATTTCATGTCGAGATTCAATATTAAACTATACACTTTTGCGCATAAGAAATATAATCTAAATGCAAATTCTCAATATTCGTGGCATGAATCGAACTCCCATTGAAAGCAAATCTTAATTGAGAATTCTCATCCATTTTGAGATATTTGGGTTGACCTAAGTGTTAAGCAATATCAATATTTTTCGTATAATGTGTAACTATATATGTTATTTAAATGCATTCAAAAATATATGTTATTTAAATTGTATCGAATTTGTCAACAATTCCGCAAAATATTCATATAATCATGTATACTATGTATGATTGTACTTGTTTAAAAGACACTAGTGTCATCCGCACATTAGACAAAACCTTATTATAATTATAGTAAATAAATAAATGAATAAAGGTGAAGGAATAATGATGAAATGTGGATGAAAGCATTGCATCATGCAAAACTGTACAATTACCCCATTCCACAAGCAACAATTACAATAATCAACTTTTGTTTGCAATCGAATCAGAACCCTCTTCATTCCCCCACCAGCCACTCTCATTCTACTCAACATGCAGATCGATTATAATACTTTGTCCTTCTCTACAATTTTTTTTTTTTTATTCAATGTATGATATCTATATAAAAATCATAATCTTCAACTTTTGATCTTAAACTTAAAATAACCATATCATTTTTATTTGAATAATCTTCAACTTTTGATCTTAAACTTAAAATAATCATATCATTTTTATTTGAATCAACACCTTCTGATCATATCAAACTCGCATATATTTTCATTCTAAACATTTGCTTTCACATCTGATCTATTCTGAAGTGCTGTTGTGTGAGCATATATCCATTAATGTGTATCCAACTATCAGCTTTTAGTTGAGATGGAGCACATGCTCCAATTTGGTATTAGAGCCAGACCAAAAGTTTTGGGTTCGAATCACACGTGTGTATCCATCCAACGACAACAAAATTAAAGGAGCGTTTATTTTGGAATGGATTACCCCCCCCCCCCCCGGTGGGAATGAGGGAGGATTCATTATCATTTGTCATTAAGCTCTACTATCAGTCTATAATTGATTTGAAATCATTTCCATTTGAATTAAGGTATCTATCATTCTATTGTTATTATCCACTTATCCTTCAATCAACACACATAGATTATGGTATATTTTGTTTCTGTTTGTTTCTTTGAAAATAATTGTTTTTAGATATATGATATTATGATGTGAGCAAATGGTAAATGTGATGAGATTATGAACTATGAAGTGGAACTTATACTTTTAATATTATGATTATATTTCATAAAAGAGTTTTTAAAAAAAGAATTTATTGTGATGAAAAGATATGACATGCCCGCGGCAACTAATCGAGTTGGTCATTGGTCATATGTATGAAGTTTATGAACAATGACTTGAAAGATCGGGTCTTATCAGCGGTAGTGTGCGATATGATAAATCTCACTCTATAACCTTCAAATCACATATGACCAAACTTATGACGGTTCAGTATAAGAATCATGTTCTTCCTGTTTCGTCACCCTTATTGGGTTTGGATTACTTTTTTTTTTTTAAATGTTAAAATATAAAAACAAACAAAATAGTACAGAATATTTTTTTTCTTTTGTGTGTAATTCGCACCATAACTAATCCCCTCTCTGAATTATGCTCGAAACATTGATTCGCCATCTATAAAAGTCTTGGAAGAGTTGTAATGGCAGCATCATTCCACCAAAGTTCTAAAACTATCTCTGTTACGAGAACAAACGCAAGCTACATTCTTCTATACTATAATGCCACCTTTTTGTATAAATTTCCCCATACTAAACCTTCTCTCGCATCCCTTTCACAGTATCAGAAAGAGTGAAAATTTGCCACTAAACTATACACGAGTAACTAGAATACTAAGTAGTCCTACTCCCTCTTTACTGCTTGATAGAAACTGTCGCCTCAACTGCTTGAGTGATCCAACAACGGCCATCTTTCCACCAAAAAATCTTGTTTCAACGATGGATAAAACCCAGAATCTGGAGATTGGTTCCGTTGCAGACGATAAATATTCCAAAGAATTGGAAGTTGCCGTGAAAGCTGTCCACATGGCGTGCTTGCTCTGTGAGAGGCATTCCAAGGATGATAATTTTCTCGTTACCATTGCTGGTAGGTAACTCGGTTTAAATTTCTCATTTTCTGGGCTAATTTTCAATTTTCTTGAAAAATGGTATTTTGGCCTGGGTGTCCATGACTGGTGTGCTTTTCTTCATTTTGTTGATCTTTTTGATGTTTTAGGAATGAATTCTGGTGAAAGATTTGATTTTTATTTTCAAATTGTTAACTCAAAGACACAACTCATCATCAAGAAGGAGAAATTTATAACTAGAAGTTTGAAAATTGTTTTAGCCATACCATTTCTGGAAGGGCCAACCTTGTGACAAGTGACAGTTGTGGTTGTCATATTGCCTAATAAATTTAAGAAAAATGGTCTATTTTCAAGAATAATTGATTTGGTTAATAGTGAGGTTAGCTAGAGGCCATCTTGCTCGGCGCACTCCAGCCCGACAAGATAGTGTAGGGGTAAAATGGTAAATCATGACGACTTAGCGACCCATTAGATCAGTCATTATGAAAACCTATTGTTTTATCTATATATATCCTGACTGATTGCCTGCAGAATTTTCTAGGATGCCATTTTCCTTGTCCAGCCATAGGTGCAGATTGAAAGATCATCATAATTGAAAGTTGCTTCAAGTTAAGGATGTTTTGTTTTGAAAACGTAAAGAATATGGATTTTGTCATGTCCAAGATCTTTTCAAGTGAAATTTACAACAAACTAGTTATAAAAAGTGACATGCTTCATGAACTTTAATCAGTATATGTATACACTAATTTGATGAAAACATTGTTTTCAATTCCCTAGGTATCCATATTTTTACTTTGTTCTCCTCTTTCTTCTAAAACTATATCTACTATGGGGAGATGCTAGTCATTCTACTTTGTTTTGGTTCATCATCATGTGCAGCCATAACTGTTCTTCAATTCACTCTGTCTGAGATGACTTTGTTTGTTAAGCTAATCTTTATTGCATGCTGCATATAGATTGGAGTGTCCAAGCAATTGTTAGTTGGGTTCTTTCTGAGGCTTTTGGTAGTGAAAGTGTAACCATTCTTGCTGAAGAAGATAAGCAAGAAATCTCCAAGGCGGAGGAGGCTACTGGCATCCTAGAAAGCGTAACGAAAGCAGTAAATGAGTCTCTGGCTGATGCACCGCGTTTTGGACTGACAGGGCCAGCTGAGGCTCTCTGTGGTGAAGAGATTATGGAGACGATTAACACGTGCAAATTGGCTGCAGGGGCCAATAATGCTAGCAGATTTTGGGCGCTTGGATCTCTACGAGGGGATCAATATGCTGTTGCACTGTCGTTGATAGAAGATGGAGCCCCGGTGGTTGGAGTTCTCGGGTGTCCTAATTATCCACTGAAGAAGGAATGGCTTAGCTATCAGTATGGATACCAGAGGATTCTATCTAGGTTGACCTCTGCAGCAGCATCTGAGCCTCGGGATAAAGGTTGTGTAATGTATGCAAGAAGAGGCGATGGCAATGCGTGGATGCAGCCACTTCTCCCCGGGGGAAAGATGTTTAATTGGCCAAACTCATCTAAACAGATTAAACCATCCTCCATTGAAAGCCCAGTTATGGCTACCTTCTGTCACACAGTTGAAAAGGCAAAATCAAGCCATTCATTTACTGCAGGACTAAATTCCAGCTTGGGACATAGGTGAGTGTTAAGTGTTAAGTTCTTCCCCAAAATCTCAGTCTGTACTTATTGAAAAAGGCTCGTGAAATCTGTGCTTTTCAGGAACCAACAATTACGCGTATATAGCAGCATGAAGTATGCAGCCATAGCCCGAGGAGATGCTGAAGCCTTCATGAAGTTTGGGAGGGCTGGTAAGAAGGAGAAGGTATGGGATCACGCAGCCGGGGTGGTGATCATACAAGAAGCGGGAGGCGTGGTGAGTGATGCTGGAGGAGATCCACTCGACTTCTCGAACGGGGCATACATAGAAGGGGTGGATCGAGGTATAATTGCTTGTGCTGGACCTAAACTGCATGAGAATATCATCAGGGCTGTTGATGAGAGCTGGTGCTCCTCTTGCCTCTGATGCAAATTGTATATTACTTGCCATTTTCATGTACACTGTCATAAGCTTTCAGGGCATTGTAAAATAGCATGATGTGAAATGTGAAATGTGAATGTGAATATTAAGGTATTGAACTCTGTCAGCTTGTCTTTTTCACAGCAGTTTTGTCACCAATTGAACTTGATCATTGCAAAGATCCAATTTTTACTGTAAAAAGATGACAATTTCTGCCATTTCTAATCTGTCCATCCATTGTTTTTAGCCTGAACCCAGCCCGAACCACAGTTTTGACTTGGGTCTAGTTCAAAACTGTGACCCACCAAGTCCAGTCCATTTTGAAGCCCAAACCAGCTACTCTAGACTTATATAGGGGTGTATCCCATATTCTCAGGGCAGTGGTACAGTCTAATAGATGAGAGTCTCACTCAAGACTTGCTTTCAGTGACAGGGTAAGGATTTAATCATTGCCATGACAATTGGGAGTTTGAATTCCTTGTATGCAGAAGTGTAGAGTTTGGTATTGAAACATATCTATAGGATATAAGAAAATGTAAATACAAGAGAGTGGGGTAAGGATATAAGAAAATGTTGGACACAAAATACAAGAGAGTGGGGTAAGGATATAAGAGAAATGTGTAAATATAAAAATACAAGAATATGAATATATTTACACACATTTTTGTTAACTATATATAAATATTAATTGTCTACTAGTTCTTCTTTTAAAAAAATATAATTTTCATTTTTTTTTTTAAATTATGAAGACATTGTTGAAAGTGTTGTGGGAGTTTCTACGATTACGAGGAAAAACGTATTCAAAATGTGGAAACACCACCTCCTACATACAAGTTTTCATGCATAATAGGGATAATGGAAACACAACCTTAGTGCCGTGCCAACTGAATACTAGAGGGAATTTAATGATTATGATTACAATCTTATCTATGCTGGATCGTTCAACCATCACCAACTCAAGAACTATGGTGGAAGGTTAGTATGATTTTGTGTCACATATTATGATGCATGTGATACCAACTGTTAGAATAAAATATATTACATGCATCCTATCAACTGTTAGAATAAAATATATTACATGCATCATAATATATGACACAGGATCATACTAACCTCCCGCCATAGTTCTTGAGTCGGTGATGGTTGAACGATCCAGACTGCTGCATAACACGAGAGACGGGTATTTTGTCTCTCACTTCTATTTAGCTCTCTCTAGATGATGTATGAGGTATATAGTGTGAGAAGACTAGTGACCTTATATAACCACTGGCCATCATTGTGGTTATATGTCTTTAGGTCTCCTAAACCCTAACCAGACTCCTAATCATAATGGTAGTCTAACTATTAGGTTATTAGTGTTGCACTCCATATCAAATACTGAATATTATTATAACTTATCCTAATATTATAGCAATAAAACGTTACATACAAAGCAAACTTTATTTAAAGCACACACTCAAGTAATACTTACAAAGCAAATTTTATTTAGAGCACACATTCAATTCATTTAAGTAATGATTTTGAACTTTTTTCAGTAACAAAAAACCATTTAACTCAGCATTTTTATTTATTATATTTAATTACTACAAGACAGCTTTATACAACCATATTCATAAATGAACTAACAAACGTCAACACGACCTTTTAAAACGCGCTACATTTTTCGCAATCCCCGAAGATGTTAACATCTTTGAAATGTGCAGACTAGCTTGCACAGGTACGAGTTGACAAAAATGACACAGATTAAAGTCATTGAATAGCACCATGCCCACCATGTGTCCACTAACAACATGTACGAAAGTGAGTCGATGTAGCCCTACGAGTTTAACTCACTAATTTAGTAGGTATTATTTAAGAAAAAATGTTAACATTTAAAATTTGACATCAATAGTGTTAAGATTATGCTCAAAATGAACATATCTTCCACCATATTTTACATTCCTTCCAAATGTTATGTTGGGTCGGGAGAAAAAAAAAATTAACAAAAAAATTTATTATTTCTCATGTAGAAAATTATGTTGTGGAACCGTGCACAGTTCCGCAACGGCGTCGCGAAAACGACTCCGTTCTAATAAAAAAAATGTTTTTCACTTACTGTTAACGGCGTTTCTCTATAAAAAAATTATGAATCTATTGTATAGAAATTATGAATTTACTGTATTTAAATTATGAATCTACAGTATAGAAATTATGAATCTACAGTATTAGGTTTGTGAACATGTGATAGAGCTATATGTTCATAATTTTATAAATATATGTTCATAATTATAGAGCTATATATGTTCATAATTTTCGATGTTCATATTTCCAATTGTTGAACTCTGTATTCACAAATCACAGAACTATATGTTCATAATTTGATAAATATACAGTTTAGAAATTATGAATCTACAGTACAGATATTATGAATCTGCAGTATAGAAATTATGAATCTACTGTATAGAAATTATGAATCTACTGTATTTAAATTATGAATCTACGGTATAGAAATTATGAATCTACAATTTATAAATTATGAATCTACAGTATAGATTTAATTTATGAATTTACAGTATGGAAATCATGAATCTACAATACGTATAGAAATTATGAATCTACCATATAGACTATGTATTCACAAGTGCATAAATCTATATTCACATTATGAAAAATAACGGTGCCACCTCATCACATGAAAATAGCGTCGTTAACTCCCGTATCCACCTTGCAAGGTGGACACGATTTCACAGCATAATAATTTGTCTCATGTAAGACAGTCTTACACAAAATTTATTCTTGTTACACTACTTTATTATCAACAACGAATATTTAATTTGGTAGTGGAAAATTAGAAAGCCAATCTGTAAAGCACTTGTTGATGTTCAACAGTCATGAATATGATTTACAGATCAGATAGGTCACCGGCCGGCCATCCTTCTTTAATGTCACCGCCTCCGTTTGTCGGCGACTTGTTTGTATCATTTTCGACGTTTCACACACACATAATATCTGTACTGTAGATTCATAATTTTTTCTCTCCAAAGTACAGAGTATGCTTATAATATTATATAAAAAAAAATAATTCATTTGAACGCATATAATGTATTTTTTAAGAGCGACAATTTAACTTATCCATAGTATCGGCGGAATATAATATGCCAACATTTTTTATTAGAATGTGATTCAAACATGTGACTTTCATTTGGAATGTCCTTTTTGACTGCTAATAACAAATAATTAATTTTATTAAATATAACTTTACAAACTGTTACTATAATCCACTAGTTAAAATTATTGATTGCCAAACATGACCATTTTTTCATAAATGCATTTAAAAAATCACGTGAAACATATACTAGAAAAGTCAAATATCCTGTGTCTCCTAATTAATTGAGGTGAAGCTACTTATCCAAGGTTAGGAGTTTGAGTTACATTAATAACAATATTGTGTGAGATAACTTCAGGTCTTTCTTTTAAGAAGTATTCTGGGTCCAAAATAATTTCCGTTGACTTGATTTTTCAGACACATCTAAACACTGGAAATTCGAAAAATGATTTTCACAAATTATTTTTTGAGTTTCCAAACACACTCTTTAGTCATTTAAAACGACAAGCTTATTTCTTACCAACATCCTCTCGATCAAGCTCATTTCTAGTGCGTTTACCTTTCCTATATGGGTGTGTAGTTTGCGAACTATAGAAGTGAAATTTATATAGTGTACACTCTTAAATATTTTTTTATTAACTTGGAAGGGCAGCAGCGGCTCTGTTTGGCAAACCTAGCTGAAAAGCTATAAGCTAGGAGCTGAAAGCTGAAAAGGAGCTGAAAGTTGAAAAGCTATAAGCTAGGAGTTGAAAGCTGAAAAGGAGCTGAAAGTTGAAAAGCTATAAGCTCGGAGCTGAAAATTGAAGAGCTGTTAAGCTAGTTGTTATGATTGAAAGTGTTTGGTAAAATTAGCTTTTTGATAAGCTGATAAATGTAAAAAGACTAAAAAGGCCATCTTCATAAAATTTAAATTAGTTTGTTTACATATTAGAATTTAACATTTTGTCTTTTAAAAAAAATTAACATTTTGAAATAAAACTAGTAACATAATCATGATTTAGCATCTATCTCAAAATGAAGTACCAATATTGTTGCCAATCTCATAATAATAATAATAATAATAATAATAATAATAATAATAATAATAATAATAATAATAATAATAATAATAATAATAATAATAATAATAATAATAATATTTACGGTGAAAGTTGCGGATAAAAGAGAAGAGAAAATAGTTTTAATTGGGAATGATAAATTATGTCATTTCTTTAAAATAACAAGGATAAAGATGGAAAAAAAAAAAGTTAGAAAGCTATGAGCTTATTTTGAAACGCTACCTAAAGTAGCGTTCCAAAATAAACTCTTATTTTAAGTTAAGAACTTATTTTGGGAACATTACCAAACAAGCTCCTAAATAAACTATAAGCTCCTAAATAAGCTCTACCAAACGCTACCTAAGAACATTAATTAAAATAAACTATAAGCTCCTAAATAAGCTCTACCAAACAGAACCAGCAGCAAGCTCCCAAACTTCTAATCTGCGCAACTCCTTCTTACAGCCTTCATGGGCAGTCGTAGTTTGCCTTCTGGAGCTGACCATGTAGTTCACCAAGAGAGTAGAGTCTAATTTGAACATTATTACCTTCTTAAACCCCATTTGTATGGCTAACTGGACACCCTTTAAGAGGGCCCAAGATTTAGCTTCTAATAACGGGGTGCAATTGCCAATATTAAATGCAAAACCTTGCTTCCAACAACCATTACAATCTCTGATGATGCCTCCTTAGGACGCACTGCTCGTCAATAGATCAACCGAACCATCAACATTGATTTTGACAAATTCATCCTTTGGTTTAACCCAAGAGAGCATCTTCCAAGCACTAGCTACTGATATTTCATTGGTTTGCGCCTTAATCCATGAAACCTTAAACTGCAGCGCCTTGATTGTACCATTAAAGACCATCTCATTTCTCCATTTCCAATTTCACCACAAGGTTATGGCAAACGTGGTGCTATCACTGCTTGCTTCATTGCCTTTGTTCCTGCATGTTACGTTATCGAAAAGAAAAAGAAAAAATGATGAAATCATCAGTAATAAATTCAGTTAACCTACCCTACCTTACATGCATGATGCATTAATCACCTTCTCAACTGCTATCCACTTTATACCACCCCCCCCCCCTCCCCCCCCCCGCACACGCAATTGATCGATATAATATTTCAACATTTATGCAGATACAAATAAACGTTGGTGTGTACCTGTGTATATGGAGTTATGCATGTTTAAATAACAATAATAAATAAATATAGTTTTTTCTAAAGTGTAAATTAATATTGATATCTTTAGCTAAGTTAGCTTATCAGTCAATTTTGACTTATTTGACCACTGTTTGACTTGATTAAATTAACAGTCAATATGAATGTTTGATTAATTATTTTTTTGATAGCTTATTGCTCCGAAATATTAAAATTCAAAAAACTGTTCAAATCAATTTTTTTGAAAAAGTATTAAAATACCCAAAATCCACAACTGCTATTTAAATATGCATTTCGACTTTTGAGTGGAGCTCGTCTCGTAACCTTAGTTGGTAAAGAACAATAAGAAGATAAATCATCTCAGATTATCAATAACTTATTAACTCAAACCAAAAAAAGTCAATATATAATTTATATACAATGTCGAATTTGAAGCTTTATTATTACTAAACCAACTTGCTCCAACCCTTCTAATTAAGTGGTGTGGTTCTCTCTGATATATCTGGTACTAAAGGCAATGTCTTTCAATCTCCGATACACGTGGTAGACCATAATTGGTGTGGCGACTTGTTAACAGTATTATTTTGCTCATCCACTCTATTTTGCCACCTCTTTATAAACCCTAATTCTATCCATCTTTTGATTTCGACAAACAAAGAAGAAGAAAAAACGTTCAAAATGAGATCCAAAGCCATTCTGATCCTTGCTTTTGTGCTAATCACATCAACCGCCATCCTTGCAGCTCGGCCTGAACCGGAAGAGCTCAATCACCTCGCCAGGGAGACATCCCAGAGAGGCGGCGGCGGGGGGTTCGGAGCACCGTACTTTGGGCCGGGAAGCGGGTTTGGAGTACCCGGTTTTGGGAGCGGGTTTGCGGGAGGATATGGATCCGGGTACGGTGGTCCGGCAGGAGGGTACGCGAGAGGCGGCGTAGTGAGGCCGACGGTGGTTTGCAAGGAGAAGGGCCCCTGTTACGGGAAGAAGCTGACGTGTCCGGCCAAGTGTTTCAAGTCGTTCGCCAAAGGCGGGAAGGGCTACGGCTACGGCGGCGGCGGCGGTGGCTGCACCGTCGATTGCAAGAAAAAATGCAGCGCTTATTGTTAAGCGCCGCAGCTCGTTCATTCGTAAACGTTAATGAAAGCTACGCCCATACATATATATATATGGGATTACCTGTCTCTATATATGTGGCTGGTAAGATGACTAAGATCGAGATTATATATATATGATGCTATGGTAGTCAGTTAATATTAGCAGCTATGTCCTGCAACTATGTATGAACTATGAAGAATGTTGGTATGTAACGTATGAGTTTAGCGGGTTTTACTCTCTTTTTCCACGAGAAATGAGATAGATATTAGTTTCTTTCATCTACCCGCATTAAGAAAACCCTTGTGACAAAAGTAAAATTCTCTCACCTTAAGATTTCATATTTTGACTAAACAAAATAGATTATAGTGATTTAAATAAGTTATTAAGTGGGAGGACTCGAACCCATGTCTAGTACTTATAAGACACCCATCACATTTAATATAATTCCAACACAACAATTATCAAGTTTAATCTTATGTCTTTATAACGTATGGAAGAACAACTGAAATGTATTTATAAGCACAATAGGAAAATCCAATACAAATATAACCACTTGGAGCGCGCCCCCCATTAATAACTGAGTATCCCAACACCAACCAAAACGCGCTTTCCTCCAGTTCGCCCATAAATAACATAATGCAGCAACTAGTCGTCTTGCCATCATTGCATGAAATTAATATATTCATATGCCATCATTATTTATTATCAACACCTTCTCAATTAAACTTATTATATAAGATATTTTTACTGCCCGCATGGGTAGCTCAACTGGTCATAGAGGTGAAACTTTGGAAGAATGACTAGGGATTGAGTCTCACCAGCGACAGTGTGGGAGGATTGCGCATTTCTTTCCGTCATTCAAAACAACTCCAACCAAATTAGTTATACTCTTCTCCTTGCTAAATGAGGTGACACATTGAAAATAATTTTTTTTTTATATGTTGACATGGTTAACAAACTTATTATTGCAGCAAGTTTGCTAATCTGACCAAAAGGCTGCGGCAATTGTTGCTGTGGTAGCCTTTTGTACACACACACACACACACACACACACACACACATATATATATATATATATATATATATATATATATATACATTTTTGTTTTTAATTATTTATTTGTTTTGTTTTAATGTGATGTAAACTTGAGATCATTTTTTTGAAGTAAGAGGATATTGTAAGGATGTAGAAAAAATAGTAAAGGAACTGTAAATTTTTTAGTGTCACCGTTAATTTAGATAAAGCTCCACTACCCTGGAGTGGGTGCATAATCATTTCCAGCACCAACAAAATCCTTTATATATTTGGCATCTGCCTCAATAATGTTGATGTTAAGTCAACTAAAACAATTCGGACCTAACTTGTATTTATTGATGTAACTTTGATAAAATATAAGATATCTATTCGTTCAACGGATGTGTATATCTGATAATTAAAGATTAAACTAGCATTTAAATATTTTTAATATTAAGAGTTGTTATACCATGGACTAACATCCACCTTATAAGGTAGACCTAAATTCAAAATACATAATTTAACAATTTGCATACTGAATGTTTACCATTTACATATGTTCACAGTTTACCTTTTATAAAATTGTAAACATTTAGTAGGTAAATTGTGTATTTTGAATTCGCCTTGGACCCGAATCCACAAAATAATTTGCCCAACTTAACATGAACGAGATTTAGTCCTTTAAAAAAAAACATGAACGAGATTTATCAGGAATAACTATCTCTTAGATTATGATTATCTATAAGTTGACTTGTACTTTCTTTCTCCAAGAGGAGGATCCAACTTTCACTAAAAACCACTATTGTACTTGAATCCAAACAAAGCAAAATGTGAAGCTCGACTGGATAGATCAGATTAATAATGCTGGCAGGTCATACACGGCCAACTACTGTTCTTCTCTATTAAATATTAATACAATCTTTGTGGGACTTGACTATTTCCTAGTACAAAATGCATCAAACTTCATTGAGGAAAAGACCAACATCATATTTAGGACAACATCAATTTACCTAATAATGTGAGCTAAAGAAAAATGTCGACGAAAGAGATTTACAAATGAATCTGCTAAACAAAAGATTGGCGCGGGTATGGTTTTCGTACTTGTTCTTTTTAGCACAATGTGGATGTTTAACATACATGACAAGAATGAACACAAACATATGATGAAACAAGCTCGTCTGTGTAGCTTAACTGGATATTATATTTTTACCCGCGCTGCTCTCCTCTATGGCATTCACAAATGCCTGTACAAACCTGAACTATTGTACCAGTGGAAAGTGCAACTTTCATATTGCTGCCCTTAAGGCTCCTCTAGCAGCCTCGCGCTTCATCTCTGCAGCTTTACCGCTGCCTCTGAAGTACATGTATACTTGCTGCATGATGGCACAGCAACAAAACGTTGAATTCCCGAGAATAATGTTTTAGTTTTCAATGGAGATATATAAACTGTGTAATGATTCAAACCTGTATAACCCAAATGCTGAGAACTGACTCGAGACAGAACAGCCCAAAACCAATGAAGTAGAAAACCTACGCAGGAAATCAAAATGATGTAAAGATTAATTAAATACACATTTAACAGGCAGATTCTTGCTATTCGTGTTTTGATAAAAGAACAATCAGCTACACACTTCCACTCAAGTGTTATCAATGGGTAAGAGAATATACTCTGAAGCAAACAATGAGAACTTACCCCAACCAAAACATGGTCGCCAATGAGATCAACAGCAGGCAGGATACCTCTGTTCCAGAATATGATGCGAGGTTAGATAATTGGTAAATGTATAAAAACAACTTGTCCTTTAGTGCAAATAATGTCGGGACTAGCTTTTAATCATCTACTCATCTATAAACATGTCCTATTAATCAATTCTAACTGCTCCAACTATGCATAATTTCATAAGAAAGATGTAGATGTTCAGATGCAACAAAGCACTTACGTTAGAGATTTTCCTTTGAAAACTACTGGAGGAGCAACAGCAGCAAAGATACAGAATCCAATGTGAAGCTGTATGCCAGGAAATATGTGATAAATCCTTCAAGTCCAGCAAAATTTTGGATGTTAAAGTCTAGGAAATATTTAGTACTTTAGGACAGGGAACTTACCAAATAAAACAAGAAAAACCGCCCGAATGTCAAAGCACTTTCTTTTCTGCAAAACATTAAAAATAAGTACCACCTCAACCAATAGAAAGTAATTTTTTAAAAGGAAAAAAATGAAGAAATAAAGAAAAGTTTAAGACATAATGACATTAAGGAATTCAAGGTATAGCCAAAAGTTAGTATGGTCTCAACGAATGGGAGAAGAAAAAAGGAAAAAAATGAGGGAAGAAAGAAAAGGTTATGACATCAAGGAAGATAAAGGAATAGGCACAAGTTAGTATGGTCAGGGCAATGCTATCTGCATGATTTAAAATTTAAAATAAAAATGGCAATGGGCATATGCCCAACTGGCACATGTAAAATTTCATTAAAGCTGGTAGATTAACCAAAAAAAATTAAAAAAAAAATAAAAACTGTATTTCTGACATAAAAAGTGCATCACAAATTCCCAATAAGGAAAAAGACCACCTTACATCTGAGAGAATCGAGAGATGACCTATTTTGGAAGTGTAACCTACAGATGGAGCAAGTCAAATTTCATTCCACAGTGAATATGGATATTTACCTAAAAGCACGGTAGAGTGGACGATACCACAGCACATAGGCTCCCGGAACCCCTGAGATGAAGTAGATGATAGATAGAAACCAGATCTTTACATCTGCGGGAAAAAAAATTTCATGTTAGAGCATTTGGTCAAATGCATGAAGAGGTGCAGATGAAAACACCAAACTAGAATCAACATTAACAAACCTCCATTTTTAATCCATGCAGTAGTGACAGCAATTATATTCCATAAGAGACATGCAAAAAGCCCTGCTCACAACCAACATATATTCTCAGAGCATGTACAAAAATAAATAAATAAATAAATCAAAGTATACATTAAAAAAAAAAAAAAAAAAAAAAAAAAAAAAAAACAGATAAGCAGATCAAAAGAGCAATGCAAATAGCACAAAAATCTTTAATCCAGCAGGATAAATCTCTGTGACAATGCATAGCATTTTATCGTTTTAAAACAACTCAAACAGCCTAATTAAAGAGAGTTGCATTAAAGGCAAAGGAAAAAAAAAAAAAAAAAAAAAAAAAGAAGTAGATCCTCATTACTGAAACTCCCAGAGTCCCAGGTAGTACAATAAAATATGGCATACCTAAGAAGGTTGTAAAAGCAACATATTGCAGCCTCTGCAGATGAATTGGTATTTCATTCGCAATATCATGATGGATTATTGGGAAGAATGGTGGCCAATTCTTTGCCTCAAGAACAATACCAGCTGCAAAGCAACAAGGATGTTTGGATTTGTAAGTCATTAAGAAAATAAATAAGAGACCCAGATTAATGCTTTATTATCTTACATTACAATCCTGCAGGCATGTTATATAAGATAGAAAAGACATGAGAAGAAAAATGGGTATAAGAAAATTGAAATAATAAAGTCTTTTGAGGAAATTAAAAAAGGAAAATACTAAAATGTATTTAGATCTAACCGATGATTAGCAATAAAAGGAGCACAAAGGGGAAAAGAATTCAAATAAGAGGATAGAGAACCTCTTGCAGCAGCATCTTCCTTCCGCTTCAACTCCTGCATAGTATTAATGAACCAAGAAAAAAAAAAAACCAAGTAAATACTATAATTATCATAAGGTTGGAGAGAATGGAATTTTTTTTTCACTACATAAGAATGGAAATTTTCATTAACTCCAGCTGGAGACATGTTGAAGATAGAATAATGGGATTTAGATACAACGATGTATAATACATCAATTGAAATTTTGACCATGCTTAAGGACAGTGAAACATCTTTTTGAAAAATAACCAAACATTTGAGGTTCATTATATGTACAGTATGCACTACACTCCATCTAAGAATATGAGGGAGGCACACAGCTGAGTCAATCAAATGCAGTCTTGCTAGCAGTTTAAAAGTAGCAGGACACAAATGCATTATCACATGTGAAGGTTAGATTTTCCATTAACATATACCTGCTCTCTGCTCCTCAGTTCAGCCTCTTTAGCCTGCAACTCCTTCTCTTTCTTTTTTAAATCCTGCATTCAATGTTGACTTAAATTTGAGAGTCAAAGAGATAGACATCAAATCAAGACAAGACTGATGAACATGGTTGTATGCATTCATCAGTTATGAAAGGTTTCACGAACCGCAGTGCTATCAAGTGGAATATCAATAGAGGCATTGTTATAGAAACCAGCTGGTTCGGGAGGAAGGGGAGAAAGCCTCGACTTTGTGGCAGGGGGGACTCTCCCAGTGCCCTGTAAAATTCCCAAAACCAATGTGGAATATGTTAGCAATAGAACATATTCAAAAACAATCACGCAATTAATAAAAGACACTATTATGAGAACCAAAATATTCCCTTATATCAAGCCAGCATGCAGAGACTGGACTTTCATTGAAATGAAATTCTTCAACACCAAATGTTATCTCCACTTCCATGGGGGGAAATGGAAATGAGTGGAAAACAACACAAGTTCCATAAAATAAGTACATTATTGAAAAATTCACTACTATAATGAAATTTCAGAATTGATTCTCTAGAAGCATGGAAATGCAATAACAATGCAGCATCCAGAAGCACTCATAAAAATATAACCCTATAAGGTTTTTGCACCTGAATTATAAATAACACAAATACAGAGTATTTTATAAACTAATCTTATAAGACAATAGTTCAAAGTAACAACATAGAAAACACAAGGGTTGATTCTTTCAGCTGAAATGTGTTGGACCACATTTCATAGCTTTTCAAAACTCATGTTCATTCTATCAGTAATTGATATTGACCAAATTATTAACAGGTAATTACTACTTAATTTCCAGCTACAGGCATCAAGAATCAGACCAAGCCAGAGGAGAACTGATGTGGAAATGATTTGGGATGTCACAGAGAAGGGTCATTGCACCCAAAAACGAGTACAAGAAAAAACTGATTTTTAGCCTTCATCTCCCCACAGATGACAGAACCACACATTCCCTCACAACCTAAACTAAGATGGCTCTTTTTCCCCATAAACACAGGCTACACAGTCATAAGCGGATAATTATGAGCCTTTCCATCCTTCACAGAAACAGATCCTATGTTCATACAAATCCATAACAATAACATAAAATTGCAATTTGCAAATCAGCATATCAAAGTCAAAGATAGCCAAAAGCAATGTTAAGCTCCAATTTATCATACAAACACTGAATTCAGACATCAAGCAATAACTTTGCAGAAGTATACGAAATATAACAGCATACCCTCGAGCTAAATCAATCAATTGTCCATATCATACACAAACCTTTAAAAAAATTCCAAGTTCACCGTCAGCTTTACATTATACGCTGATTTAAATAAGCTCAATCCAATTAGAGCATACAGAAACAAGAAATAGACATAACACAGATTTCAGTTCTAAACTTAAGAAATCGCGTACAGAAACAAAAAACACGCGGACAGAAGTTGAAATGTACATGTATACGCACAGAGAGGGAAAGAGAGAGCTTACAGCAAAAGGATTAACTTCTTCTTCTTCAGCAAAAGGGTTGTGATCGTAACGGCCGGCCATTTCTGGTGAGTTCTACTCTTCACCTAGCAGAGAAGCTGAGATCTGAATAGTCAGTGGCAGGAAAAGAAGGCAGCTTGCTAGAGAAGAGATTTGAGAAGTGAGAAGAAAGAGAGGCCTCAGACTTGGAAATTTCAAATTTCCGGAGCTTCTTAATTTCTTATTACAAAATGGAAAAAGAAATGGAGAAATTCAAGTCTAGAGAGAGAAACATCGGTCTTTGGTCAGCTTTGAAATTCTGTTTTATTTTTGTACATAATCATATTAAAGTTTAGCTAACCAACTCAAAATAAATCTGAACTGTAAAATTTATTTGAATATTATTGACCTTCCATTTAAGGGGATCACTTCATGTCATTAAACCACAAAATCACTGACATATAATTGTATTTAATATTATTGGTATTAGTACACATCATTACTATAACAAAAAATCTTACAATTTTATATTAAAACAAAAAACAAAACTTTCTAAGAAGTTGATTTTGTATTGTGTGTAATTTTTTTTATTTTTTTTAATTTCTAAAGACAAGGGTTTTTTGGGCTTGATTTTATCTTAAAATGATTATTATTTTTTATAAATATTATGCGATAGCATTTTTCTTTTAAAGATGGTGACTTGAAATGAATAATATATAAATTCCATTCTGGCATGCCAGTGATGTCAAAAGGAAGGAAAGTGGATTAGAGACTTATTAAATTCGGATTTGTTTGGAATGGAGGTTGGTTGATTATTCAACATTGTCATTACATGATTTAAATAATTTTTTTGTTCAAAGACATTTTAATCATGTTTAAAAAAATTATAACTTGGTATTGTCAGATACATTAAAAAAAAAAAAGTTGATATAAAAATTCTAACATTATTTTTTAAAATTTGTATAAGAATTTAACACTAAGTTTTAAACAGATCTCAATTTATCATTACCCGTTGCCCAGTAACAATTTGTATTCTTGTTTGACAACTGAATAAACAGCCACCTTCGTAGCCAGGTGACCGGCTGTCCATTGCAAGGAAGTTCGTGTTTTTCTAGAATATATGAAAATTCTAGTCAGCTTTTCTTAGGTTCATACCAACTAATAATCCCATTTTGAATTCAGATTTAAGTAACTTTATAATGCACACAAAAAATAAAAATCATAGTGAGGGCATATAATAATAAGTGGTGTACTAATTGACTTGAATTATAATTATGATAATACAATTAGTACTATTGAATAGGAATTACAGCCTTGAAACATTGGTCTTCGGTCAGCTTTAAATTATTTATTTATTTATTTTTTTACATAATTATATTAATCTTTGACTTGCATCTAGAAAGATGGCTAACCAACTCAAAATAAATTTGAACTGTAAAATTTATTTGAATACTATTGACCTCCTATTTAAAAGGATCAGTTCACGTCAATAGACGACAAAATCACCGACATATAGTTGTATTTAATATTATTGGTTACAATTATATATATATATATATATATATATATATATATATATATATATATATATATATATATATATATATATATATATATGGAAACACTAGACAACCTTTCTAAATAAGGAAAATAATTTCATATACTAAATTGACCCCCTGAAAAATTAACGCTTCTAAATATGGAAAATAATTTCATATACTAAATTGACCACGTGAAAAATTTTGAAAATTAATTTTATAAACTCTAGACAACATTTCTAAATAAGGAAAATAATTTCATATACTAAATTGACCCCCTGAAAAATTTTGAAAAATAATTTTATAAACTCTAGACAACCATTCTAAATATGGAAAATAATTTCATATACTAAATTGGCACCCTGAAAAATTTTGAAAAATAATTTTATAAACTCTAGACAACCTTTCTAAATATAGAAAATAATTTCATATACTAAATTGACCCCCAGAAAAATTTAAAAAATATTTTTTAAAACTCCATGCAACCTTTCTAAATAAGGAAAATAAATTCTTATACTAAATTGACCTCCTGAAAAATTTTGAAAAATAATTTTTTAAACTCTCAAGAACCTTTCAAAATATGGAAAATAATTCAATATTCTAAATTGACCCCCTGAAAAATTTTGAAAAATAATTTTATAAACTATAGACAACCATTCTAAATATAGAAAATAATTTCATATACTAAATTGACCCCCAGAAAAAAATTTTAAAAATAAACTCCAGGCAACCTTTCTAAATATGGAAAATAAATTTATATACTAAATTGACCAACTAAAAATTTTTGAAAAATAATTTTTTAAACACTAGACAACAATACTAAATATGGAAAATTATTTCTTATACTAAATTGACCCACTACAAAATTTTGAAAAATAATTTTATAAATTCTAGAAAACCTTTCTAAATATGAAAAATAATTTCATATAATAAATTGACCCCTGAAAAATTTTGAAAAATAATATTATAAACACTAGACAACCTTTCTAAATAAGGAAAATAATTTCATATACTAAATTTAACCTCCAAAAAAATTTAAAAAATATTTTTTAAAACTCTAGACAACCTTTATAAATAAGGAAAATAAATTCATATACTAAATTGACCACCTGAAAAATTTTGAAAAATAGTTTTTTTAAATCTAGACAACCTTTCTAAATATTGAAAATAAATTCATATACTAAATTGACCCCCAGAAAAAATTTAAAAAATATATATATTTTTTTAAACTCTAGACAACCTTTCTAAATCATGAAAATAATTTCATATACTAAATTGACCCCGTGAAAAATTTTGAAAAATAATTTTATAAACTGTAGACAACTTTTCTAAATATGAAAAATAATTTCATATATTAAATTGACCCTCCAGAAAAAATTTTAAAAATATTTTTTTTAAACTCTAGACAACATTTTTAAATATGAAAAATAATTTCATATACTAAATTGACCACCTGAAAATTTTTGAAAATTAATTTTTTAAACTCTAGACAACCTTTCTAAATAAGGAAAATAATTTCATATACTAAATTGACCCCCTGAAAAATTTTGAAAAATAATTTTATAAAATATAGACAACATTTCTAAATATGGAAATAATTTCATATATTAAATTGACCACCCAGAAAAAATTTAAAAAATATATTTTTTTAATTCTAGACAACCTTTCTAAATATGGAAAATAATTTCATATACTAAATTGACCACCTGAAAAATTTTAAAAATTAATTTTTTTTTAACTCTAGACAACCGTTCTAAATAAGGAAAATAATTTCATATAATAAATTGACCCCCTGAAAAATTTTGAAAAATAATTTTTTAAACTCTAAGCAACCTTGCTAAATATGGAATATAATTACATAGACTAAATTGACCCCCCTGAAAAATTTTGAAAAATAATTTTATAAATTGTAGACAACGTTTCTAAATATGGAAAATAATTTCATAAACTAAATTGACAACCTAAAAAATTTTGAAAATTAATTTTTTAAACTCTAGACAATCTTTCTAAATAAGGAAAATAATTTCATATACTAAATTGACCCCCTGAAAAAATAATATTATAAACTCTAGACAACCTTTCTAAATATGAAAAATAATTTCATATACTAAATTGACCCCCCTGAAAAATTTTGAAAAATTATTTTATAAACTCTAGACAACCTTTCTAAATATAGAATATAATTTCATATACTAAATTGAATACCAGAAAAAATTTAAAAAATATTTTTTTAAACTCCAAGCAACCTTTCTAAATAAGGAAAATAAATTCAGATACTAAATTGACGCTGTGAAAAATTTTGAAAAAAATAATTTTATAAACTGTAGACAACTTTTATAAATATGAAAAATAATGTCATATACTCAATTGACCCCCAGAAAAAATTTAAAAAATATTTTTTAAAAATCTAGACAACCTTTTTATATAAGGAAAATAAATTCATATTCTAAATTGACCCCCTGAAAAATTTTGAAAAATAATTTTATAAACTATAGACAACCTTTCTAAATATGAAAAATAATTTCATATACTAAATTGACCCCAGAAAAAATTTTAAAAATATTTTTTTAAATTATAAGCAACCTTTCTAAATATGGAATATAATTACATACACTAAATTGACCCCCTGAAAACTTTTGAAAAATAATTTCATAAACTGTAGACAACCTTTCTAAATATGGAAAATAATTTCATATATTAAATTGAACCCCTAGAAAGAATTTAAAAAATATTTTTTAAACTTTAAACAACCTTTATAAATATAGAAAATAATTTCATATACTAAATTGACCACCTGAAAAATTTTGAAAATTAATTTTTTAAACTCTAGAAAACCTTTCTAAATAAGGAAAATAATTTCATATACTAAATTGACTCCTTGAAAAATTTTAAAAAATAATTTTATAAACTGTAGACAACCTTTATAAATATGGAAAATAATTTCATATACTAAATTGACCCACAGAAAAAATTACAAAAAAAAAAGTTTTAAACTCTGGACAACCTTTCTAAATAAGAAAAATAAATTCATATAATAAATTGACCCCCTAAAAAATTTTGTAAAATAATTTTATAAACTATAGACAACCTTTCTAAATATGGAAAATAATTTCATATACTATATTGACCCCAAGAAAAAATTTAAACAATATTTTTTAAACTCTAAGCAACCTTTCTAAATATGGAATATAATTACATATACTAAATTGACCCCCAGAAAAATTTTGAAAAATAATTTTATAAACTGTAAACAACCTTTCTAAATATGGAGAATAATTTCATATATTAAATTGACCCCTCAGAAAAAATTTTAAAAATATTGTTTTAAACTCCAGGCAACCTTTCTAAATATAGAAAATAAATTTATATATACTAAATTGACCACCTAAAAATTTTTGAAAAATAATTTTTTAAACACTAGACAGCCTTACTAAATATAGAAAATAATTTTATATACTAAATTGAACCCCTGAAAAATTTTGAAAAATAATTTTATAAATTGTAAACAATGTTTCTAAATATGGAAAATAATTTCATATACTAAATTGATCACCTGAAAAATTTTGAAAATTAATTTTTTAAACTCTAGACAACTTTTCTAAATAAGGAAAATAATTTCATATACACAATTGACCCCCTGAAAAATTTTAAAAAATAATTTTATAAACTCTAGGCAACCTTTCTAAATATGGAAAATAATTTCATATACGA